GGTAATTAACTTTCAAATCAATAGGAGAGATCTGAAGGCTAGCACAGGGTGGGTAGGAAATGCAAAATTATTTTTACCTAACAAAGAAGTGTGAATGAATGAATGAACATGGGAGAATAGGAATAGTCAGACAAGGACAGGGAAAGCATTATGGCCTGATAAAGGCAGAACAATCCATCACAACAATAGTATCTTTAATTCTCCTTAATGCTGTGTTGCGGTGTTTGAATTACAGTTGGGTTTTGTTATCTATGCACACACAGAACTAAGGAGTTTAGCTGCCTAGAAAAACAACACACAGGCCTATAAAAACCTTCTGACTCACCTAAACCATGCAAAGAACCGCCTGGGACTCTTACCACAGAGTATACCTGGAATTTCTTGGACTTCAGGGCTGCTTATATCTAGAAACATTTCTATGGCATCTCTAGCATTTTTGCAGGAGTGAATTTTTTAGGGAAAGGATGAGTTTATAAGCAGCTTACAGAAGCTAATAAATGATTTATAGCTGTTTTGATAGTTAATCAACTATTTTAGATTGTTGGGCAAGTAAAGAGGCTGCCTAAATCTATGGCTTGTAACCATCTAAGCCATTTTATTTTGTCTGTGTTTATTTGCACTTCAGTATCAGTGTGTTGCAGGTATCCTAACACTGAATGATGATTTATAACCAGATAGAAACCATCTGTAAATGTAAGCTTTGCGCAAAGTGAGACATTTCTTCTCTTATTTCTGCTTTCCTTCTCCTACTGAGAGGGGTCTGCTCAAGGCAGCTGGCATAGCTGATGGGGAAGAAGCAGGGTTTCTTCTCTGAATGACACTGAGCTTAGAGCTGAGAGGAGCACTTCATTTTTCTTGTCTCGTCAGTAACTTAATCCTTTGTGGTTTTACTGTTTCTGAAATAATAAAGTGAGTCTGGAGTCAAAGGAAAGCCCTTCTCAATTCTCAGGAAAACGCAAGGATGAAATAACCTTGGTCTTTCCCAAGCTAGTGAGCAAACATTTTCTGCTGGTGACTTTCCCTGGCTGGGAAAGCAGAAGCAATTCCCACAAATAAAACTCTATCCTGAAAATGACAGGGAAGGTGCTCTGCCCAGAGTCCATAATTCAGATCTGGGAAGATCTTAGCCAAGGGCCAAGATAATTAACCAAGGAAAGACAGCCCAGGAGACAAAACATTGGTTTTCTGTGTGCAATTTGCCAAAGCAAAATTAATTCTCGTGTTCCAGTGGGAATCTGCCTTTTCTTAACCTAGATTTCATTACAAAACCTGTGAAAATTATGGAAGCCTCCAAATTGGCACTGTGTATTCAAAACAATGCTACTGTTCAGGAGCAGAAATGTACTCCAGTGTCCCAGTTGTAATGGGGAGGAGACTTTTGTAGGTTCTTTCTTTCCTTATCTTGCTTGGAAAAGGAAAACATGTGCCTTCACTAATGTGAAGAATCAAGTGAAAGGGCCAAGGTTGTGCCCTGCAGAGAGGTTTTTTTGGCCAAATTCTTTTAGCCCTTTCTGCTGTGTGTTTAGAATATTTTAGACACAAGGAATAACAGGAATTATTTATGCCACAAATTGTTTCATAGTTTTTTTTCTTTTCAAATCTGTTGCCTCACAGTGTAAAAATCTTAAGAAATATATACAGGAAGATCTGTGAGTAGTAGTGTAATTCGTCCAAGGGCCTTGTCAACCTTAGGGCCAATACATTTGTTATCATTTAAGCCTGACATACAGATCTCATTGTGAGACCTGCTCCTCACATGAGTGCTTGTTATGCTCCTGAGTGCATATGTTGACTTCCACAGGACGATTTCTGTCTTAATTTTGCAGGGCTGGTCTTTAATGGGTTTCAATCTGTCCCTATTACAGGACAGATTTTTCCCTTAGTGGGGAAAACCCAGTGAAACACAGAAGGATGTGAGGGTGGAATCTGGACCAGTTCATACTGAGAGCAAGGAAAGTTATTTTTTCTCTTTAAACAACCAAGCCAATATAGATACCCTATTTGGAGGAAGTTTGGTTTTTAATTCTCAGTATATTTGACCTTCAAAAGGACACAAAACAATGCAATTCAGAGGTGTGCTGCCTACAAGCTCAGCTCCTGGTTGTGTCTGTACAGCTGAGAAAAGTGAAAACAATGAAACAGACAGTTTTGAGTTCCCAGTGAGAAAAAAGGAAACTGGCAGCCTTTTCTTGCTTTATTGTTAAATATCTCTATTTAAATGCAAATCATCATCTGACACTGCCAAACAAAGTCATGTACCAGCAGCAGGCATGCAAGTTAAAAAAATTTTTAAATGATGTTTTGAAGATGCTGAATTGCTTTTATTTCCAGGAGGAATAGAGGTGGCTGAATAAATTTTTGGCTGCATAGCGAGGATCAGCTCAGCACCTAGGAGCTTCAGATATGAAGATTTATATTTTAAATACAGCTTTTACAGTGGTGTGGGCAGGCTCTCTAGTTAGGGATCACTTGGAGGGATGCTGAAGTTATCCCACAGCAGTATTACAGTGGAAAGCCCAGTGTTTACTGAATGTTTTGGAGGGGGGTAGGATCCAGGGACAAAAAGGGGCAGGAACAGCCAAATTGCTGCCTCACTGTGCCTCAGGAATGTGTATTTACAAGTGACCTGTGCTTGATGGTGCTGGATGCAGGGCCTCCAGCTTCCTCCCTGAGCTCCACATCTCTGAGCCAAGAGAGGCATGAGGCTGGACCTCAGGGAAGGATTGGGACAGAGGAGAGTCTTGCAGGAGGAGCCTGGGTTGTGGGTGGGTTGTGGCTCCTGAGCTGCCCCAGCTCAGGTTCCCTGAGTGAGCATCCAGCCTGTTCCTCCTGCTGATCAGGAGTAGCTAGTTAATAAAGCCCACCTCCAGGGGAGCATTTCTATTCAGTTCAGCAAGTCCCAAAATCAGCTAACAACCTGTACCTTATCAAGCCTCATCTGCTAAAATTCTTCTTTTAATTTGCTGTTTACCTCACCATTTTAAACTTTCATTCTTATAAATCAGTGTGGATATATTTGCTTTCTGTGCAGGGTTCCAGTAGTCTCTTAATAATCATAATAATTGTTATTACTGATTAAAGTTGCATTATTCATGCCAGATGGAGTGCCTTCCCTGTCAGCCACAATGAGTTTGCATTTATGTAGTTATAGTACATTTGTGATCTAAATAAACAGATGGTAGAAGGTGACAGAGAATTATGTGCTGGTGATATCAGCAACATTTCCCAAGTATAACTGCTTTAAATGAACATGAATGCAACAAGGAGCTGGTAGTCTTAACAAGGTAGTTGGCATTCAGTGTGGTAATTACCAGGCAGTATCATCAATAGCACCAGGAATGCCAAGAGAGGAATGCTGGCTTTGAAAAATTAGTGACAGAGAGTCTGACTTTGCATGACCATCAGGTTGGGCTCTGTAACATCTCACAGGTGTGAGCATGCTGCTGTTAGAGGAGAAGTGTTTGTTTTTTAGGGTGATCCAACCTTAGCTGAAAGACATTTTGCACTTTCTCCAGCGCCGTCTCCCATCAGGGCATGTGGCAAGTATTTGATTTAGTGTAATGGAGCAGTGTTAGCAGCAGCAGCTGTTAATACACGATTGAAAGGATTGAACCTGGATCAGGTTCAAAGGGGAAATTCACTTAACAGAATCTCAGCAGTACTCAGTGGTGTATAAAAGTTTAATCAAACGCAAGGTTGGGTTCCTGCGATCAAAAGCGCAGTGATAAGGACTGTGCATAGTCTTCCACAAGATTTACATTGGGTGTCTTGGCTCATCCCATCAGAGAGCTGATGAAGGGCTTTGTGAAGGGCTGGCTTGCCCACCCCTCAGGCACTGCCACACCTGGGAGTGTGCCTGGACTTTGGCCATGTCCAGATGGCAGCCATGGAATGGGGTCTCCCTTCCCTCTCAGCCCAGACTGCTGTGGGGCTGTCCGAGCGCTCTCTCCAGTGGTGCTGAAGTACAGCCAGAGGAGAACATTCCAACTCTTCTCCTTGCTTGCCCTTCCCTCTCACATGGGTCAGCATTTTGCCACGACGCGGACACATGAACTGAACTCCCACCCAATCTAAGTGGATTTCAATCACTAATTACTAGGTAGTTTATAAAAACCTACCATTGCTAAGGCTTCTTCTTACAGCTGTATTTTACAGTGAAAGCACCTGTTCTTTTTCTTCAGGGACTAAACCTGTCAGTGTAGGCACACGGTTTGTGGTGATTGGAGTGGGGTTGGGCCCAGCCTCATCCCCAATGAGCTACAGCTGTGCAGGACAGGTGAATGACATTGAAGATAACGAGACACGTGGCACTGAGCAACCACCAAAGGGAGCAGAGGGCACACAGGGGCAGGGCATCAACGTGGGGGGATAAAAGGCTGGGCTGAAGAACAAGAAGGGCAGATGCTTGCAGCCTTCTGGAGTCCCATGGTGTTACTGTGTATGGGCAGGTGCCTGAAGCCTTCTGAAGTGGGGAGGTGTTTCTGTGTATGGCTTGGGGCTTTCTGAAATTGTGTGGTGATACTCTGTGTATGGTGGCTGTCTCAACTGTGGCATGTGCTGTGACAATTGTTCAGATGAGATTGAACAGGAGGTAAGTAACTGTATAGCCTTTCCAGCACAGCCATCTCTCCTTCTGTGAAGGAATCAGTAGGTCTTACACAGGCTGTGGGAAAGCAATAGTGATGGCACTGAGTGATGACATTGTTCCTCAGTCCTCCAGACTTGCTCATACTTATTTTTGTTTTTAAATGTTGTGGTCATTATGCATAGAGAAAGGTATTTAGAGTATAAAGCATTTAGATTAGTACCTGTATTTCATGTACATTTGATACCAGATCTGGTTATTTAGTTGGGCTTTTTTTACAGGTACTGTTTCAACCTTGCTGAATTATAAAAACCTTCCAAAGACAAGGTGGACGTCTGTGTCTTGCAATTGCTGGATGTTAAAGGACTGAAAGGGAAGCACATTTCCAATCTCTCTTTTTCTGTCTGTCCTGCAGGTGGTCGTTGCCACAAGTCCTGCACAGGACGGTGCTGGGGACCCACAGAGAATCACTGCCAGACTTGTAAGTGTGTAAGAGTGAGAAACAAAGGACTGGAAAACAATGCAGCAGAGATCCTACTTGTTTTCTTTCAGTTGTAAAGGGATACTATAAATTCTGGATTTGGTATAACTGTAAAATATACAAGGGTTTTTTTCCCCATATGTTTTTATCAATAGATTATTTGCTTTTTTTTTTCCCCTACCCACGTGAATGATATTTTTCTTTCCCCCCGCTTGGGCTTTCTAAAATTCCTTATGCTAACTTGAATTTTCTTTTCGTTACTTGGTGGCAACATGGAGCATGGCTCTTGAGAATATTGATGGCAGATTTGGAGATCTTTAATGACCACCTGATGCTGCAGAGTTCCTGTTGCCAAAATACTCTGTTAATTTCAATGGTAGCCTTGGAATATTAGTTATCTTGCAGAATTGTTTTCTTTATAGTAACTTGAGAATATATTTGAGTTGTACTGAAAGAGAGAATAATAGGGTTTTTGGTGAAGGAAGTGGTAAGTGAAGGGTCATTCACTATGTTTTTCAGTCCTTGTGAATTTAGAGAGCGTGAAAATTAGTTTCTTCCTTCCTGAAGGAGCTTTCAGCTCCTTCACATAGGCACAAAGGAGCCAGAAGTACAGTCACAATATTAGCAGATAATAATAAAAGAGGAGAAAATGGAGGGCTGCTTTTTCTACAAGTTTTTTTTTCCTTTTTCCTGCTTACAAGAGGGTGAAAACCAGTTGCCTTTACTGGAATCATTCTTTGTGGGACATGAAGTGGTTGCTGGGAGCTCCTCCACAGCACACTTCCCCAGCTTGTGCTTGTTTCCTTGGCTCAGTGGTAAATGGGAGGAAGGACTGTGACAAGTGAGCCACTCCCAGGTGAACACCCCAACCAAGCTCTGAGCTGAGGAGAGTCAGCCCAGAGCCATCTGCCTCTTTCCTGGGACTTGGTGGGAACAGTGCAGAGATGCTGCTTTTTGGTAGGGTTTTTTATTTTTGAGTTTGTGGTGTTTTTGTTGTTTTGGTTTTTTTTGACTCCTTGGAGTGAGAGAATGGAGTTAGAACTGGCAGACAGCTTGAGGTGAATGCCTGATGAGTCTGAGCAGGAAATCCAAGCTGCCCTGCTGCCCCAGGAGACAGAGCCATGTACCTGCAGAGGCTCTGCCACCCTGCCAGGAGCTGCTTTCCCTTTAGGAGCACCAGCTGATTCTGCTGGAGAAGCTGCTCCCAGTTACAGCTCTGCTAAAGTTAACCTGGACAGAGCCACGTACCTGCAGAGGCTCTGCCACCCCGCCAGGAGCTGCTTTTTCCCTTTACGAGAACCAGCTGATTCTGCTGGAGAAGCTGCTCCCAGTTACAGCTCTGCTAAAGTTAACCTGTTCTTGTATTACTGCTTCATATTGTGCTTTATCTGCAGGCATGGCTAAAAACCCCTCAGGCCATACTGTAGGACTAAGGTACAGTGATGCAGAGCAGATTCTTCTTCATCTGAATTGAGCTGGGACATCTTCCTCTGCTGGCAGTCTTTGTGAGGGCTCTGGGGAAGTCAGTGCTCCTTACCAGGAAAAGAAGTAGATTTTGAGTTGTGTGCTGAAGTAGATAATGGAAAGGGACTTAAACCCTAGCTTACCACCTTACTTTATATCATGATTAGAGTTAACTAATTTTATTTTTTTTTCTGTCCTAATGAGAAGCTTGTTTGTCTGTTAAAACTGGTAACTTTGTAAGAAACTGCATAACCCATCCAAACCAGTAGATTTCTTCAGACTTTCTGGGGTTATCTTAGCCAAGAATAGTTTAAAATAGTTCTTGGCAGTTGTGTTCTGTAAGGAGCCTATGATGCTGGTTCAGGCTGTGTCTCCAGCCTCGTGGCAAGTCCAGCTCCCATGGTCTCAGCCTCCACAAAGCACTGCTCTCAGATAAGGGAACTGATTGGTGGATTAATGTGGAATTACCCGGGAGAGAAGGGCTTATCTGCAGGGCTGGGAAGGCAGGAGCTCAGCAGGGCTGCACAGAAGGCTGGCTCCAGGAGTGACAGCTCCGTCCCTCCACAGTGGCTGCCCTTGCAAATCCAAGCAGTGGGGACAGGCTAAGGCACAACCTTTTAACATGGGGTTAAAATAATAAACTAGGACAAGCTATAACCCATCCAAGTGTCGGGGAGATAGATGGATCACACTCTACCTGAGTAGCTACTCCACATCCTCTCACCTCTCTCCTTCAAGCCCACTCTGATGGTCAGGGACAGGAATTAGTTTTACATCACAGACTTCTTTGCCTCCATGGCCTCGCTGCACATTGGACAAGCAGCAGGATTGAAGGAAGAGGCTGGTAAAGGGCATTTCTTCATTGGATTTTTGCACAATGTGTTTCCTTCAAACCGGGTGAAACCAAGAGGGAGAATTTGTGTAGGGGCTCAAAACATAAAAATGCAAGTGGGACTATGCTTTTGCTGCCTTCATGTATAACTTTAAAAGACGTGCCTGACTTTAGGGCTCACAAATGTTTTTAAATACAAGCTGTGTTGTGCATATTGGGTCTACCTTAACCCTGTCACCTTGGGGATGCGCTTCTTTCCAACACATGTAGGAAAATACTCCAGCAGTGCTACATCCAGTGCCAAACCACTTTGATCCTAGAAACAACTCAGAGCTTCATTTTGATAATTTCTTATTTTCTTTTTTTTTTTCTTTTTGAGGATTGAAGCAAAATATTTTAATGAGCCCCCCTCCCAAGATAAGATTGAAATTATTTTCCTGGGAAAGGATAAAAAATGAAAGATCTTAATCCGTGTCTTTCATTTCAAATTACATATGGAAAAAAAACCAAATCCCTTTGTTTTTTTCATGAATATCATCTACCTAGCTGCTTTTGTTGCCTTCCAGCAATGTCTTTGTTGCTAACTCTGTCTGAAACACCACCTGCATCTAACTCTGTTCTAATGTCTCTCTAAATGTGAGAAGAAAATTCATGTATTTAAGAAGACAATTAATAGGAAGTTTAAGCCAAGCTGTTCTGTTAGGAGATAGAGAAGATAAAACTCCAGGGTACTGTTTTACACAGTTAGCAATCCTTTTTACTTTTATAATTAAAATATTAGTAGATGCTAATAGGAAGAATTTGAAATTGAGATGATATAATGTGTTTCAGTGTCTGGAAAGGCTTATGTGAAAATACTTAAAAAAGACTATTTTTCAAATTGTATTGGGCACACACTGAATAGAATGTAAACCACTTTAAATAAAATAATAACAAATGCCTTTGGAAGTCACCAATCAAATTTGAAAATCTATGGTTAAGTTGTTAGAATTTTTGCTGTGCATGTCTATTAGCAATTCAGTGCAGAAATTAAAACTTTCACAATTCAATACTTTAATAAAGTGACAGATTATGCACTTTTCCCCAGAGGAACGTAACTGAAAAGGCAACAATCTAAATTAGAATATAGACCCTATTACGGGCATTCAAAAAGACAAATATAACCTATAAATCAAACCTGAAACATTTAGTAAGTGTCAAGTGCACCTTGACTCTGTGTACGGGAGTGTGGTCAGAGCACAACTGTATTTCTGCTGTCCTTGTGCAGCTGGTGTTGCTGAGAAGGTGCCAAATTAGAGCAGCAAAAGGCAAGCAGGAGCCTGGTGGGGCACACAGAAAGAGCTGAACCAGCAGCTGGGATCAATCAGGGAAACCCACATTTCTGCTTGGAGCCAGCATCTTTAATTAAAAGCCTTGTACTGCTCTAATAACTTTGCATGTTGGGAATGCTTTCATTGATTTCAGTTACTTCCCATTTTTTCCTTCATGGATTGATATCGTCCTGACACAATTAAAGATGAGGGGAAAATATAAAGGAGACTGATAATTTGCATGTCTACATGATGTGATCATTTAATGACAGTTTATTGCTGTGAAATGCTGGTAGAAGTTGACAGTCTCACCCAGAATCCATCTCAATGCAAAACACATTTTTCAGGACTGGTGTTTGACCTTTGGTCCTGGCCCGGACTGTGACAGTTCTGTGTAGTTGAACGCTCCAAATTGTTGGGATCACACACAGGATCTGTAGGAATCCAGGCAGGTAGTTGTGCTGACCCTCAAAAGGTCTGCTTTGAAGCTTGGGGTCTCAGCTGGGATTAGTGAAGCTCTCCTCACTATTGCATTGGGTGAAGATATGAGTACCTGGCATCTGAAATGCCAAATAGTTTGACATTTTGGGCAATATTTATAATTCACTCTTTCAGATAGGTCTTGAGTTGCAGCTATAAAATCAATTGATTGTATTTGGGGGGGGAAAAAGCTTGTTATCTTTTTAAACCAGTGCAGCTATGTATATTTTCTGTGGGGTTACCCCCTGAGAATGAAGCTGAACTGGTGAGTGGTGTTTATTGGCATCTGAGCAATCAGATTGTTTCAGGCCTTCAGACAGTACACAGAATTGTCTTGTGGGAAAGGCAATTATTTTCAGTGGAAAAACCTTCCTTAAAGTGTCTTAAATATGAGTCCTTAAGATCCAGAACCTACTAAGCTCATTAATGTCTTGATGTGTGTGGTGCCACTGAAGACACCTAGCAGGTTCTCCACAGAGCTGGGCCTTCACTAGCAGCTATAATGCAAATATGGCATAGAGTGAAGCAGGAGATAGATATAATATGTTCTGGCCTCTTCCTGGAACAACACATTGGCATTTCTGTTGGCATTGTTTGTTTTCCCTGAAAAATAAACAACTGGGGAAGAACAGTGACAAACTTTTGCTGTAATTATTAATTTTGCTTCAGGAAAACCCACAGTGTTCCCTACCCTGAGCAGTGTGGTAGAGACCCTCCTTGAGCTGGTGTCTAACCAGCAGCAAAATATGCTTTTTGAAGGAATCCAGTTCAAGTGCTGAAGAAAGAGAGGGCTGTGTTCTTCCAGATCAGCCCTGGTGGAAATGGCCCATCCCAAGATCAAACCCCAAACTTTGGTGTTATCAGCACCATGCTCCAGCCAACTGAGCTGTTCCTCCATGAGGAACCAGTGGCTCCATGGGCAGGGTGGGCGTTGTGGCCCACACCCAGCAGCAGCTGGTTCTGGGGTCCATAAATCGGAGGTGGATTAGGTGGCTCACATTGATTACCCACACAGGGGCTTTACACCAAAACTTCCTGGGGTTTAAGCAAAACATCCAATAGCTGTGGGGCACAGCAGGGAATGCATTTAACAGTGGGCTCCATGCATGGCCTTGAGGCACAGCCACAAGGCAGAACTGGCTGTGGCCATGTCAAAACACGAGGTGCCATGGGAAGGGGCAGGCAGAGCCATTGGGTGGTGGTCCTTGGCTCCAGGACCAGCTGCTTCCCTGGCAGTGGCACAGGTGAACAGAGGGTTTGGGTTGTAGGGTGAACTGAACAGCCTCTGTGCCCTCCACTGGGAATTGGGGCCTCTGTGAGGCTGACAGTGCCCAGTCCAGGGCAAATCCTGAGCTGGTGGAAAACAAGACATACTTGCAGCCTAGGGAAGGAATTTGTTCATTTTTATGAGCCAACACTGTCACCACAGTGTGCTGGTTCTCCTTTATGTCAGGATAAGGCTGGGCTTTGCCTCTCTGTGAGGTTGACAGTGCCCAGTCCAGGGCAAATCCTGAGCTGGTGGAAAACAAGATGTACTCACAGACTAGGGAAGGAATTTGTTCGTTTTCACGAGCCAAGACTGTCACCACAGTGTGCTGGTGGCACACAACCACAGGTGCCATTGTTTCACATCTGTCTTAATGTTTATCAATACTGTCACTTAAATAAACAAATCTTTTTAATGTTCCTTTCAGGCAGTGTTGACAGTAAGTACCTTCACAGAATTTCCCAAATTTCTCAAATTAGATTGCACAAGCCACAAAAGCCTTTTCTTTCTCTCTGGGGGTTTTCCTCTGTTATCACTAAGATGAAAATGCTCTAAAAGTGTATTGTTCTGTAGATTATAAAGAATCACTTCTCTTGAGTTATTTACATTTTTATGTCCTAAATAAATACTGTATGTAGCAAGAACCTTCAGCATTACCTTAAGTATTTCTGGCAAGTAGTGAAGAGATTTTTGGATCAGAATGTACTTATAAAGGTGTTACTTATACATTAAAATAGTAGAATTGAGCAGAAAGTTGGATGGAATTTTGTTTTCTCTTTCTTCCTGAAAGTGTTTAATAGAGAAGTAATTAAATGCTTTTAAAAACTAGATGTTGAAGGTTAATTGCAGAAGTGTATCATCCCAGCTTTTATCAAAAGACAGCTGACAGCACGGTAGGCAGTGGTGGCTGGTGTAGTTTGGATAATACAAATGTCTTTTTCCATAAAATAAAGTTAAAGGTTACAGCTGAGTGAGGGAGGCGAGGCAGATGGGCCACTGGGTGACCATTCTTTGCACAAGGTTAAGCCCCCAGTGGTGTGGAACAACAACCCAGCTGGTAGAACTTGTTGCTTCATTCTGTGAATGAAGGCAGAATTGTGTTAGAAACAGCAAGTGGTGTTTCCAAATGTGTTCCAAGGTTGCAGTCTGTTCTGTTCCCATTTGCCAAAGGGATTGCCATCAAGGGCACCATTTGGCTGTGACATTGGTGGTCTCACATGAATTTCACTCGTTTACTCTGTGTTGATGTTCTTGGTGGGGAAAACTCTTATGCAACTGGTGGGCTCTTTTTGGGGGGTGGGGGAGAGGGTGTCATATCCTGTTTAAAAAACTAATGATTTGAGAGTAACATTCCCCATGAATTTTCAAGGGTAAGAGGGCACACTAAAAACTCCTTCTCCACAGTCCTTGAGCAACATGAGTGCCCCTAAAGAGGGGATTATGCAGGCATTCTGGATAGAGATACTGTGCAGATACTCTGGATAGAGGTGTCCTGCAGATGGTCTGGATACAGATGTTCAGACGTTCTGGAATACAAGTGTCCTGCAGACATTCTGCATCAAGGGAAATACAGGTTGGATAGCAGGAAAACATTTTTTTACAGAAAAGGTGATAAAGTTCTGGAATGGCCTGCCCAGGGAGGTGGTGGAGTCACCATGCCTGGATGTGTTTAAGAAAAGCCTGGATGTGGCGCTGGGTGCCGTGGTTTCGTTGAGGTGTTGGGGCATGGGTTGGACTCGATGAGCTTGGAGGTCTCTTCCAGCCTTGTGATTCTGTGAATTCTGGAATACAAGTGTCCTGCCGGCATTCTGGATGAAGGTGTCCTGCAGATGTTCTGGATCCAAGTGTCCTGCAGGCATTCTGGATGTGGGTGTCCTACAAGTGTTCTAGACCCGAGCACCGGCACCACTGAGGCGTCTCCCTCCCTTCCTGGGGGTTTTCCCAGCACACTGAGATGATAAAGTTCTGGAATGGTCTGCCTGGGGAGGTGGTGGAGTCACCATGCCTGGATGTGTTTAAGAAAAGCCTGGATGTGGCGCTGGGTGCCGTGGTTTCGTTGAGGTGTTGGGGCATGGGTTGGACTCGTAAGGTCTTTTCCAGCCTTGTGATTCTGTGAATTCTGGAATACAAGTGTCCTGCCAGCATTCTGGATGAAGGTGTCCTGCAGATGTTCTGGATCCAAGTGTCCTGCAGGCATTCTGGATGTGGGTGTCCTACAAGTGTTCTAGACCCGAGCACCGGCACCACTGAGGCGTCTCCCTCCCTTCCTGGGGGTTTTCCCAGCACACTGTGGTTGTTTTGCTCGGTCAGAGACATCAGTGCCTGGCCCCGTGTGTGACGCTGTCCCTTCTCCTGCCCGTGCAGTGACCAAGACCGTGTGTGCAGAGCAGTGTGACGGACGCTGCTACGGGCCCTACGTCAGCGACTGCTGCCACCGCGAGTGCGCCGGGGGCTGCTACGGACCCAAGGACACCGACTGCTTCGTACGTGGCATTTTTCTTATTCTTCTTCCTCATTCTTCCTGCCAGTCACTCATGGATTAATGCTTTAATCCATTAAATTCACAGTTTCCTTCCTTCTAACGTACTTCATGCACACTCGCAGATTCACGATGCAAATTTTAGCATTTAGGATTTTTTGTGTTCTATTAACATCATTTATCTATTTAATATGACTCATTAACAGATCTATGAGATTTGTAAATACAGATTGGGAACCATTAATGTGCTTATCTCTGTGATTTTTATCTTTTTCTTTTCCAAAATTAGCTTTCAGAGGTGACAGCAGATTTTTACAAGTATTTGTTGTTATATTTGAACATGGATTTTATTAGTGCTCTGTGTGCTTTTCATATGAATGTCAAGAATACTATTTAGATTCTCTGTGCAAGGCATTCCCTTTTTCTGCCAGACTTAATTTAAATTCAGTATTTTTACTGGACATGCTTCCTCATAGAGATGGAAGGATATTCCATGAGATTCCTAAAACACTCTCCCTCAAATGCATGTTACTCCATGTGTGCTTCAGATGGAAAGAAGAAATGGCTTTTTCTTTAAAGAAATAGATAATCTAAATAGTCAGACCTTTAGAAAATGTGCCTTGCTTCTAATCCATTATTTCTAAGAGTTTTAGCAGCCTTAGAAGCCAAAACTGGTCTCAAAAAATGTGTAGCTCCTCACACTGGGTCGATGAGACAAGTTTTGCTAATGGTTTCAGGGAAAGAAAACCTAGGTCAAAAGAAGCCTAGACTTAAAACCTGCACAGAGAGGTGAGTTTTCAAAGCTACCCATGTGTTCAAAGAGACAAATAGCTGTGAAGTTGACGGCCAGGTGTGGTTGGGAGGAAGGAATGGAAAATTGTATATATTTTGAAACTGTGAATATGTAACTCATCATGAACTGGCAAAAATGAGTCTTTCCTTGGCTGGCCCTGACTACTTGATAGTGATAGGTTTTGTGCTTCAAAACAACACTCTAAATGCTGTTCTTTGGCTGCTGATGAAATGCTTGGTGGTTTGACAGCCACCAAGAGGATTTACTAATGCTGTTATCAGTGGCTTTTCACAAGTAGATGCTCAGCACATATGGTGTGGGTGATCCAACAGTGCCTGGAAGTTCTCTGTTGGCTTTGAACTGGAGAGACAAGAAAATACCACTCTTTCTTGTGTCATGTACAGTAAATAGGTAAAGGGAAGAGAAAAAATGCAGTCATTGTTCCCAAATGAGCATTGAGGAACATCCTCGGAGCTGATGTGTTGATGTTTTTGAGGGTTAAGGACTGTTACTGATAAATAAAACTTTACAAAAGGAAGGCCTTGTAAAATCATGGCTCAGGCCTGCTACTTCTGCTAAGTAGAAGACGACTATGGGAAAGTGAGTCAGCTGAATTAGGGGTAGAAAAACAAGTTATATAATTACATGCTCACATTGTGGTACATAGTGGTTGGTTTGATTTGTTATGATTTAAAACTATGCAGCTGGTAAAGGCCTAACTGCTTAAAAAGGCCTGGTTTTTCAATAAGGAGCTCTCCTTTGCACCTGCCTGGGGACTCTGCATCACTTGGGACCCTCACCCACAAAGCACAAGTTATTGGCAGCATAACTTGGTACTGCTGCAGCCTTAAAGTTAGACTTTCTGAATTGTGGCAGCTGTGGAAATACACATGCTAAAAATCAACTGCTATGTTTTTTTCTGGTACAGCAGAGAGGCATCCAGGGTTTATTCTCATTCTCTTCTGGCCCCAGAGCAATGTAAAAGAAATTCAGCAGGGGTCTGGCAATTTTCAGGCCTAGTAATTTCTTTCTTAGACACAGTGGGTGAAAAGTGTAACCCTTTAAGCTATAGACAACTGTGCTTAGCTTTCAGCTGAGACACATAACTTTGTTTTTTCCCTGTGTATTTCCTGTGCTTTTATTCACAAATTAGCAGCATTTAGCACAAAGTGCTAGAAATTTGCATATATTATCGAAGCAGTTACAAATGTATATAAAACATTTCAGTCATAAATTAAAAGTTTCCAGATCTTCTAGATGAATTTTTCCTGAGAATTGCCATGTCTCCAAGGAGTATTGGTGTGCTTTACTTTATGCATTTGCTCAACTGTTATCAGAGAATTGTCATGTACATGATGGAGTACCTTTGAAGTCAACATGTAAGAAATGGGTTGAGGAAACAAACTAAATTAGTATTTATTAATAAGCAAAAGTACAGCTTATGAAGCATTACAAATCCTTTAGAGCATTATGGCATTTTGCAACAGCATCCTGTTCTAAATACGGTTTTAATATCTGTAGATAAAATTCATCCATCCTCCTCCATCTGCTGCCATGCACTCATTTGCATATTCAGTTCTAAAAGCAAGACAGTAATCATCATCTGACACAAATACAAGCAAACGTGCTAAAGCAAAGTTTTACTGATGTTTTTATCTCAGATTCAAACTGGGTCTAGAACTTGAAATGCTTAGGGGGGCCTGGCTGATTGCCTAGTGGAACCTGAAAGTGATACCTTGGGTGGACTTGCCTTCCAGTTCTGAGTAAAGTGTTTATTTTTATAAGGGGGAATAAAAATCTGTTTCTATGAAAAAAATTGGCAGGTTTTATAATAGGCATTTTAAAGGAACAGGCAAGGCAGGATCAGCAGTTTTGCTTAGCACATACTCCATGCAGGACAGTGCTTTGATCACAGATCTCCCTGCTCATGCTTTTCTGCAACAAATTTTGCCCTTGGATAGATTATTAGCCTCTCCTTTCTGAAGTCCTCTGGCATGGCAGGTCCCAAGGTCCTGCTGGTCCTGATCCAAATGGAGATAAGGACTACTAACAAAATCAGCAGAAGGGAGGAATCTTTTTCTCTTTTCTCTCAGTCCCAGCCCAGGAGGCAAGGGCCAGGATGCATATATTATTGTTATACATATATTGTATTGTTGACTCTTTAAAGACACAGCACCATCTGTATTTTAACAAAGAAAAATGGAAAAGGACTAGAAGGATTCACTCCTAGACTAACACTTCTAAAGCAGCCTGGATTACAGGTTAGTGGAGAGGCAATACCCAGCAACAGTGGCTGCTCAAACTGCTAGAGGGATCTGAGCCAGGCTACAGCTTTTATATTCATACAAATTTTTCATTCATGGTATGCTCTGTGAAAATTATTCCAACAGTTTTCTTATAATCTGTAGTTAAAACCGTAGACATGATGTGTGCTGATAAGGAATGTCAAAATCGGTGGGGCTTTCTACTCCTAATTACCAACCTTGCATGGTCAATTGTTTTCCCTGCATCCCATTACTTTTGTTATCCACACACTCTCCTCTTCATTTGTCAGGGCCCTGTCCTCTGTCAGCTGTGTGTGGCAGAGCCTGAATGCTAAGTGGGACAAAGTCCTATTTTCCTCTCTCAGCGTGTGAAGCAACTGACCTTGTTAAACTTGCCACTTAGGGAAATGGCCCCCTCCTGTGCTAGTTTAAAAGAAGTTCTTATCCCTCTTGCCTCCTAATTGGGAATTACAGTTTTCAGCTGGATGATGTACTCATGCTGTAAGAAATATAAAGGGTTGGACCTCTGAAAAAGTCATTAGCATTTGCTTAGAGGATGATAAATAGCTGCTCACTCTTGGCAGTTTTAGAATGTCCTATCAAGTTGAGAATTAGTTGATTGTGAGTAGTTATGAAACAAATTACAGCGTTGTTTTGGTTTTGTAAGAAGTGTTGTAACAGGCAACTGTTGCTAATTAAAGGAGTTCACCCAACTCCCTAATTAAAAAAGTCACATATTTGCCAAGATCCTAGCAGAAATCTAAGTAGCCAAAATGAATGTTAGAGAGCTCTGTATCCTGTTTCTCACAGTCACAGCAAGTCTGAACAATCAAGGCCATCTTTTACACCAAAAAACCACCAAAACCTTTAAGCAGCTGTATGTATGATTTAATTACTTTTTTTTCCCCTCTGTTGTTTTGCAGGCCTGTATGAATTTCAATGACAGTGGTGCTTGTGTCACGCAGTGCCCCCAGACCTTTGTGTACAACCCCACCACCTTCCAGCTGGAGCACAACCACAACGCCAAGTACACCTACGGGGCTTTCTGCGTCAAGAAGTGCCCGCGTGAGTGCTGTGTTACCTGCCCTGCTCTCTGCCTGCTCTCGTGGGGAGATGCAGTTGCATTTCAGGAGCCTTAAAACAGGGAGAGAATGAGAGCTGAGTGCAGAGCACAATCCCTCCAATCACTCCATAGCCTGTAATAACTCACTTGCTGCCAATATCTCCTTTTTCTTTACTCCACAGCCTTTAATAACTCACTTAGGTGATAACTAGAGTCAGTTCCTAAGGATCCTAGAGGGATTTTCCTAAAGAAAGGTGGTTTCTGTTTTCCTGGTCAACTGCTTGTTGCATTCATGCTTTAGATCGGTATTTGCAAGTTCCAAAATAGTGGAAATAAATAGTTAAAATAGTGGGATTGTAAAAGGGTGTGAATTTTTGTTTCAGAAAAATAACAGTCCACCACCCACACCTGGAACCAAATGCTTTCATGATACTGATGCCCCTAACTTGGGGTAACAATGATTTGACACAGTTACCCTGAGCAGTTCTGTCCCAATGAGGAATAAACTTGTAATACTGACAGGAATGCAGTCTAAAAACTCCAGAGTAAAATTAGAGGGGAAGAGGGAGTTAAAAAAAGAGGAATCCCATGCATGTAAAACCCACATGCTTCTCAGATATCAGCCAGATGATAAGTAACAGAAAAAATTATAGGGTCATCACTTATACAGTCTTTGAATCTGCTGGTTTAATTGGAAAGAATAATAAAGGAGATGGTATTCTTCATCTCTCTTTCATTCCATAAAGGTTTACAGTTGTGCATTAATTATTTTGTCCATAAATTATGTGTAAGAAGGATGGGTGATCTGTATTAAATGGAGCCATAATTCAACCCAACCCCAAATTCCCAATTTTGAATCTCTGTGGAGGATTGACAGCAGCCAGGGGCTGTGACCACCAGGGCCTAGTTCTGCCTGTAATAGGGGTGGGTTTGTTGAATCAACATTGGTTTGTTAAGAACCTCATATCATGCACTACAGGGGATATAATTATTTGCCCAAATACTTCATTGAACACTTACCTTTCTTTTTTCCCCTTTCTTATCAGTATTAAGCATTTAGTTAAATAGAGTCAGACTATATTCCCTTTGGCTCATGTTTTACAGGGAAAAAAATTGAAATATTTGTCATTGTCCTGTGCACTGTTTTATCCCAGATTTATACTGTGTGTGTTAAAAAGACAGGACAGACCATCTTGCTTTATTTCTCTCCAATTAGTGTAACTTTTTTTTTTCTGTGCAAATAATAATAATAAAGCTAGACCAGGGGACAAAAAGGGATCAGGCCTAACAGAAATGGATTTTTAATAAGTCTCTGATAATGTGCCTGTTTTGGCCATACACTTCTGAAAGCACAGAACTTTGAATGTTAATGTCAGTGGGTAAGTGCTAAGGTAGCAATAGTTCAAAAACACACCAAGCTTTTATTCACTTGCTGCCAATATCTCCTTTTTCTTTTCAGACAACTTTGTGGTGGATTCCAGCTCCTGCGTCCGGGCATGTCCGAGCTCCAAGATGGAGGTTGAAGAAAATGGCATTAAGATGTGCAAGCCCTGCACTGACATTTGTCCTAAAGGTATGCAGTGGTTCAGTATAAATTTACTTGAAAGTAGTCTACACAGGGTGTTATTTTAGCAGGAATTGCCCTTCATGAGTGTGTTGTAGAATATGAATAGCCTTTGAATACCCACAAAAGTTTGAGCTATGTAGGTTGTGTGTCAAGTACATACAATAGAGTGAAAATTTATTAAGTTGTAATGGCAATATAACCAAACCAATTACTTTTTATTAGATAGAAATGAAGGGGATTTCTCTGTTAGTTTTAGAGAAATCTGAAAGAATTCTTTATTGTGTTATTTTAATGACAGGTATTTCCTGGGGGTGTTTTAACATTGTCCTTTTGTCATTCCAAAGGGGACCATACAAAAAACCCTGACTTCAATGTCTGGGATGTCTCCCATTTGTCAATATAACATTAGGTTTCCATTTCATTCTTCTGTCTCTGCTTTCCCAGAATCTGCTATCCCCTTTCTCAGTGTCTCAAACACAGACCAGTGATGGTTCTGTTGAGAAGACTGAATTTTGTAGGTTACTTTGCTGTTCTAGACTCCAGCAAGGAGACTTTCTGCTCCCTGCCTGAAGCACTGTGCAGCAAAACATCATAGGTTTTCCTACATGGCCCCATGCCATTTTCAGTCCTAACGGAAGCCACATCTGGCTTAATTGTGGTAAATAATTTGTGTTGTCGCTGAATAGTTTTATACATGAAAACACAGGTATGGAGTTCGTTAATTTCGCAAGAGGAAAGCTATCGCATGTTTGTAAAAGCTTCTGCTGGTAGCTGTGATTAGAGGAGCCCAGCTAGGAAGAGAGAATACATTATATGGTTGAAGTCATGAGGGATTTGTTCCTGGATGCATCCCGTGTCCCAGAAAATGTAGTAAATTACATAGGCTACACAGAGCAGTTTCCTCACTGGTTGCCTGTTTCTCCAGGTACCAGTACCTTGCTGATTGAGCTGATAAATAAAAAGTTATTTATACAACCTCTTAAAGTGTCTTATGGCATAGATGGTTAAGTCCAAAAATCCACCAGAGAAGGGGACCTCTGTGATACCTTGTGAAGGCTAACTTAGAACAGAGACTAGGTGGAGTTAAAGAATAAAGTAGGGATTTATTAAAAGGCCTCAATGGATCCACCTTGGGCAGCACAAGAGCCCACCCAGGGCTGCAGCCAAGGTGAACCAAAATGGTCACAAAATAGATGACCGGTGACAAGATCTCACACTTCTACGAGTTCTGGTCCATTTGCATATTGGAGTTAATTGTCCATTTATAGCTTTAGGTTATGAAGTCCCATCCTTCTTGTTTTTCTGTCTTCAGTCCATGTTGTTTATGCTCTTGGGCCTGAAATTTGGATTGGCTGTCCTTGGTCCCCAGCTAGAGAAGGAGTTGTTTTATCTACCTACTCTGTGAAGAGAGCTTACTATCCCTTAAGATGAAGCTCAGACCCACATACTAAAGCAGTACAGAATCTGAAAAACATAAAAGCTAAAACCTGAAGCAGCATTTCCCCCCCGGCAATGTTAGGACCCTCAGTTTCTGTAGTGCCCAGTGCTCCAAAAAATGGCAAGGCTGGGCTGAGTGGGATTTTTTGTGTGGCTGATACTCACCTTTATATCCCATGTGAAATACCTTAACTTGTGTGCCAGGATGCTGTGGCAGGTTCTGTAGCTCACTGTTTGGTTTAAATTGGGATGTGCTTCTTTGGGAATATGGGTCAAGGAGACCCACATACTAAAGCAGTACAGAATCTGAAAAACATAAAAGCTAAAACCTGAAGCAGCATTTCCCCCCCCCGGCAATGTTAGGACCCTCAGTTTCTGTAGTGCCCAGTGCTCCAAAAAATGGCAAGGCTGGGCTGAGTGGGATTTTGTGTGCTGGGATTTTGTGTGGCTGATACTCACTTTTATATTCCATGTGAAATACTTTTATATCCCATGTGAAATACCTTAACCTGTGTGCCAGGGTGCTGTGGCAGGTACTGTAGCTCACTGTTTGGTTTAATTGGGATGTGCTTCTTTGGGAATATGGGTCAAGGATGGTGTTTGAACCCCTCTCTGCTGAATGAGATGAGGACTCGTGTCTGTAAGGCCAGAGTGTTCTGATTCAGTAATTGTTTTCCCAGTTCTTTACACAAGCTCCTTGTTTTGGCAGCATGTGATGGCATTGGGACAGGGAGTTTGGTGTCAGCTCAGACAGTGGATTCCAGCAACATTGACAAGTTTGTAAACTGTACCAAGATCAATGGCAACCTTATCTTCCTTGTCACTGGGATTCATGGGTAAGTGACAAAATGTTAAGATGTTATGTCATGGTGCCAGCTGAAACCAATTGCATCCACCTCTTAATGATGACTGCAGGCTGCTTTTATGCAATAGCAGATCCAGGATAAATTAGCTTTCTGCCTTCCATTGTGAAGAAATGCATTGCCTTGATTCTTAAGATTCAACCTCTAGGAAAAGAAAGGATGGATGAATTGTTTGCACTAAAAAAGAAAAAAGACAACTGTGATTCTGTGGTTACTTTGAGGTCCTCAATACTGGCTTACAATAAAGGCTGATTAGAGAACAGAAGGGAGAAAAGGAAGTTACCTTCCACGAGTTTGTTTAAATTTTGTATGGCAATAATATGCAGAACATGCAGAGAGGCAGCCTCTTTTAGAATAACTTGTCATGGTCTGGGTGGCTGTCAGCACACACACATGCACAAAAGCTGCTCTCTTCTCAATCAGTTTTGAAGACTGTTTCAGTTTCAGAGGTACCCAGAATTCACTGGTGTATAAATCCAGTATTTTGGATTAAATTTTGCTTATTGTAATAGAACCAGAAAAACCCCGAAGTGTCACATGGCTCTGCTCTGATCAAATGACCCACTGAGAGGCTGGATGGAAACCTGTTAAATCTCACAGGACAGGAAAAAATCAAGTAAATGCAATACAAGCAGCTGGAGCCCATGAGCAATTTTGTGTGATTAATCCAGTGCATTACATGAAATTTAATTTTGAGCTTTAGAACTTCTTTTGCAGGAAAATTTATATTAGCTCATTTAAAAATCTGTCTAAATTAAAAGAACAAAACCCAGCCTTGAATAAAATTGTACTTGTCTGAAAAATATCTAAATTTGGACTATAAACAGAAAGTTAAAATATTCTGTTCTGTTTTACAGAAGAGTAGGACATGTAATGTTGAAATTGTGTAGCACTTTTTGTCTCATTCTTGATGAAGAAAGCTCACTTCAGCAAGCCTAAAGTATGAGGGCACTGAGTTCTGCAACACTACATTTTTCTGCAGCATGGATTACATTAGTACAGGTTAAAAGAAGAGAAGCTTTGAGAATGAATGAAAAAATCTAGATGTCTGGAACAGCTTTTTTATTTAAAGTTTCAAAGACATTTTGCAAACCAGCAATATGAAAGGGAAATGTAAAAAATGACACTGACTACACAAGTAGTTTGTTATATAAATGGACAGAGAAACAACAATTTCACTTATTCCTCTCCAACTTTATCTTCGCTTCTGTCACAAATTCATTTATTCACAGTGAACTTCAAATTTTACAGTATGAATTTTTAGTGTTTTAGATTGTAGGGACTTAAAATCTGGTTCTCTGGGGAACTTTGGTGGTGACAGAGAATAATTTTGGTGAAAGATGCAGAAGATGTTGTTGTTTCCATTGGAAATTGTGCTGTTGCAGTTGTCCTATATTTTGATCCTATGATTCTGTAACCTATTTCTTTCCTGAGCACATAAATTTCAAGTCTTTGTGAATTTGTTCTAATTTATGTAAATATATATATGTAATTATGAATGTTTTATACACATCTATTTAAAGTCATTAAGATATACACTATTCTACAGTTTTATATGTTGATAAAACAGAAGACATTTGGCTGTTTAAGGAGTTTAAGTGTATATCTGCATTTTTAATGCTATTTTATCTTCAGAATTTAGAGGTGAAATTCAGCTGCCTCATGTTTATTGCAGGCAAGGGTTTTCCTTTTTTGATGGTAATGCAATTTGAAAGCAAAGTGCTGTGTTTCTGTTATGTAGTCAAAACTTGTTATTTAGTTTTCTGAGAGCCCCACATTGTTAAAATGTGTTTCATGCTTCTGTGGCCTACTGGGCTTTTTTGTTAACGTTCTAGAACTCCTTTTTTTGCTGCTCAGGGTGGTTAGAGGTGACCCCAGCAGTGTGTCACCTCAGAGATTTGTGAGTCCTGTCCCCAAAGAGAGCCAGGTAGATCCACCTGCACGTTTCAGTTCCATGAATCACGTGTCCTGGAAAGCAGGAGGAGGAGACAAGGAAATGCGTGCTCCATGTTTATTGGGGATGTTTCCTTCTCTCAGAAAACATACAAAAATACCCAAACATGCCATTGCAGAGGAATTTTGGTTTGGTTTAAGCTTCTGGTTGACTTTTTAAAAAGAGGAGGAAATTAACATATTTACTAAATGATGGCATTCTCAAAATCTAGGTCGGCTTCATCTTTTTATACTATGGCATATCTAAGTTTAAAATTTTACATTTTGGTCGTTATTTCATTTTTCATTGATAAACTTGCTTGGCAAGGATCCATACTTCTAGAGGATCCTTGTTTAGCACCTTCTGAAAAGTGTGCCCTTTAAATGCCATGTGTCAGGAACTGCTGGCATGCCCTTAGCTTAATTTTGCTTATAGCTTGTCACTCCTTTTAGGAGCAGCTTTGTTAGTCCTGGTATACATTCCTGGAAAAAAAACACTGGAAATTCATCTTTCCTTTTGGAAGGTCACCCATGGTTGTTTATAATTCCTTAATTTTCCATAGCATAAATATTTGCTAAAACACAAATATTCCTTCAAGATGACATGGGAGAAGCTAGACACAGATCTGCAGGAACTACAGGCTGAAGAAGTTTGGTGCATATCCTCATAGGAGCAAATTAATGCTGTTTCCTGCATGGTATGGCTTTGAGAAGCTGATCTTTTCTTATTTAGAGTGTCACATTGTGTGATTCTAATCTTTCAGAGACCCGTATCACACGATCGCTGCCATCAATCCAGAGAAATTAAATATCTTCCAAACAGTGAGAGAGATAACAGGTAACACACTTCTGATCTCCTGTAATCTGCTTTAATTAATGAATTCATTCTCACTTTGCAATTGTAGTTGTCATGTGTTGGGTTTTCTGAAGAACACAAGGTACTTGTTTTCATGAAGCTCACCACGCTGTCATTTTTCTGAAAGTTTAATACAGAAAATTTCAGTATCAGTTGATTTTCAAAAGTGTGCTGTCCTTTGAACACCCATTATGGCAGATGCTAAATGGAAAAAGGATCTTGGTCCCATGTTAGCAAAGTAGGACAAGTGTTGCAAGGGAGGGAAATGTGAGGAAAGTGTTGCTGAAATGTGGGAAACCATTTCCTTCACCTGAAAGCATTTGAAAGTTCTAGTCTGCTTTTACAGCTTCTTCCCTTGGTCTAACAGAGAATTCTGCTGCAAATTTAGCTTTTGTAATTTAAAGACAGATGTATAATATGGTGGTGTTGGTGTGTCACATTTTTTTGTGACTTTTCAATGGGATCATAGAACTGGATACTCAGTATTCTGTTTTCTTGTTTCACCATGTTGGGGACAGGGAGGGAAATACTACAGCTCTGAGTTCTCATTTGAATTCTGATTATATAGAGGTAGGGAAATGCAAAAAAATGGTTCTACTTCATGCACAAAAACCCCCACCAAAATACCTTTTGGCACCACAGCTTGATTGTAGCTGTGTGGAGCTCAGCATGCTTCACCTCTCAAAAGTTGTGAATTTCAGCAAACCGGTGGGATTAAAAATGAAGTCATAGAACTGGGCACTCAGTACTTTGTTGTTTTTCCATGTGGGGGACAGGGAGGGAAATACGACAGCTCTGAGTTCTCTTTTGATTTCGGATTATATAGAGGTAGGGAAGTGCAAAAAATTATGTTCTATTTCATGCACAAAAAACCCTACCAATATACCTTTTTGCACCACAGCTTGATTGTAGCTGTGTGGAGCTCAGCATGCTTCACCTCTCAAAAGTTGTGAATTTCAGCAAACCGGTGGGATTAAAAATGAAAGTAAACTCTTAATCTCTTCCTAATTAATATCAAAGATAATCTGGCACCTGGGTGAATGTTATTTGCTTTCCTAAACACACCAATTGACAGTCTTAGCCATGCTGCTGAAGTGGAATTACCCCTGTTCTTAACTCTGCCTCAGCACTGGGCTGAAATGCAGTGCACAAAGTCATGGGGAGCTGCCCTCTCTGGAGGTCTGTGCAGCACAACACAGCTTGAACAGAGTGAACAGCCCTCACCTTGGAAATCAGGACAAGTTCTCCTTCTCTGTTTTTGGCGGAGATGGTGGTGAGCAGCCTAAGAGTCTGCAGCTTTCCTTATTTATTTTCCTCAAGCTGGCACTGTCTTTCCTTTCTAGGCTAAGCCTTCCTAACTCACATGTGGCTGAAATAATTTGTGTTCATGTTTGCCTCTTCCTCCTTCAGGGTATTTGAACATACAGTCATGGCCTGAGAATATGACAGACTTCAGGGTGTTTTCTAACTTGGTTACCATTGGTGGGAGAGCTCTCTATAGGTAAGGTACTTCTCTGTTGGCGGAATAATTTTTGAAGGAGATGTGGTGAGCAGCATAAGAGTCTGCAGCTTTCCTTATTTATTTATTTTCCTCAAGCTGGCACTGTCTTTCCTTTCTAGGCTAAGCCTTCCTAACTCACATGTGGCTGAAATAATTTGTGTTCATGTTTGCCTCTTCCTCCTTCAGGGTATTTGAACATACAGTCATGGCCTGAGAATATGACAGACTTCAGGGTGTTTTCTAACTTGGTTACCATTGGTGGGAGAGCTCTCTATAGGTAAGGTACTTCTCTGTTGGCGGAATAATTTTTTATTAGTTTTCTGTGGTTCTTTGTTCAGTAGCAGAGAATGCACCATCCTTTGAGAAGGACATTGTAAATTGTTGTATTTTTTCCCTCTGTTACCAAGGTTTTCATTATCAGTATCTTTGCCAATCAGTTGTTTATAATGGGTAATACCTTCTCAACATAATTAGTTTAAAAACCAGTCTTGGTTCATGGCTGCAGCTATTATCTCATTGACTGGAACTTACATTTATGGTTTAAAATACCTTATGAAGAAACATAGTTTAAAAGGAATCAATAGTAGAACTCTAGCCTCATTATTAGGAGCTTATATAGTTGTGATTAGGCATGCAGGTTCATATGCCCAAACAAAATGGTTTTAAGAAGAGGTAAAAGGTGGAAGAACATTGAAATCAGAGGTACCTTGCAGGTGAGGTGTTCATGAGCTCTGTAGTGCCATTTTTACCAGAGATGTGTCATGTTTCTGTGTGGAAACTGGGATGGAGAAATTGGTTTGAAGAGAAGAAATGCTGGGGGAAGCACAAGGAGGTACCTGAGTAATTTATACAGCAACTCCTGGATTCCCATTTGGAGATGGAGTAAATCAGACATGGGATTCTGCTGGCATCTTAAACAGCAACCTGAGCAGAATAAGAACAGCAGTGAAACCTTGAGGTTGAATTACAGCCCGCATTCTGTTCCAAGGCAGCAATTTTTATTTGGAACAGCTGGAAAACAATTATCATCATTAAAATACAATAACTTCAAGGATGCCCAGAAACTGGATATTGTCTTCACTAATCTTCAGTCATAAAATATGTGCAGTCATTTTCATGTTGTGCAGACAATCATTTACTGTTCCTTTGATGAAGAAAGGCGATAACCACATCTTACAACCAAAGAAAAATGAAATGTAGAAAGGGGGCTGGGAAAAAAAAATCCATGAAAATAACAATTTTTTCCTGTATTACTTGAAATGGCATTAATTTGATGCCTGACAGAAGATGTTTTAATACATTTTCCTTAGCATATCATAGCATTATCATGGTATTAATGCTGTTGAAATAAAAACCTGAATTTTATTCAGTTTTCCTAACAGCACATTATCTCAAAAAAAACCCAAAAAAACAACCTGTTAATGGATGAAATGAAACTGGTTGAGGAGTTCTGCTGGCTTACTTGGCCTAGTGCTATGAGCATCACAGCTTGTGGTATCTCACTCCTGACAGGACTCATAATTTCCTAGCCAATAGAACTGGATGTTGTCTCATAAAATATTTGTGTTACCACAAAATAAAAGTTTTCTCAACAATTCTCAGTTTTTCCAGAAAGATCACATTGACACTTATGACTAATTCCAATTGGCAATTCCCTACCAGATAAAATAAGCTGTGCCTTCTGAAGTTAATTCCTATTCTCTCTCACTTTTGTTCTCGCCCCAGTGGCCTTTCCTTGCTCATCCTGAAGCAACAAGGCATCACTTCCCTGCAGTTCCAGTCCTTGAAGCAAATCAGTGCTGGCAACATCTACATCACAGACAACAGCAATTTGTGCTACTACCACACTGTCAACTGGACCAGCCTGTTCAGCACCCCCAGCCAGAAGACGGTGATCCACAGGAACAAAAGGGCAGAGAACTGCAGTAAGTACCTGCTGCTCACTCCCGTGCAGCTCCATGGCATCAGGGGAGCTGTGGGCACTTACAGCATCCAGGGATTTGGCCCACTCTGAGCAGGAAAATGAAATGTTTTAAGGTGTGGACAAAGGAAAGGGAGCAGAGAGAGAGAGCTGCTTCCTTAACATGATGAGAATTTTCCAGTTTCACAAATGTGAATTCCAAAGGCTGTCAATGGAGTGTTCATGACTTTACAGCCCTTTCCATATGGGATTAGCATCTTCTGCTTCCCCCACCCTATGTGGCCCTATCTTAATCCAGAATGGTGCTTTTGGGACTGGTTTAGGTCATCAACTTCTCCCTTTTCATATTTGACCTATCTGATAAAAAATACTACTTCAGGAAAGCTTACATGCCAATACCTGGGCTGAGATCATAGTACTGAAAAGCCAAAGAAAGCTCTGTAGCAGATAAAATAACTTGTTTATATAGAAATCAGGCAGCAAATTGCATCAATACAGGCATATTGTAGCAGCAAGGCAGTTCATTTTAAGCATCTGTTAGACTGCTTGCAGGAGAGGAGATTCATTAAATTGCTGTATGTTTAAGTGATATTGCTGATTTTTGTGCTCTGACCAGCCAAAAATGTTTGTTATGGGTTTTTTCAAGCTGTGGTCCTATTTTTGACTTGCACTTTAGTCCTTTTTTTTGTTTGAGGGTTTTTTGTTTGTTATGTTTTGAGTGATTTTATTTCTGGTTTTTTTCATCTCCCCTCCCTTTGAAGTGCTGGTCTGCTCTGTTTTGAGAGAGTGAATGGCTGTGCTCATCACTACAGTGTAAGTGTACCTTCAGTGTTAGGTGAAATACAGCTGGAGCTTTGTCTCTGCTGCTCAGTTACTTTTCTCATTTCTCCTACCATGGGAGAGCCATAGGAAGTACAAAGTCTTGTTTGGTTGATCTCCACATGGTTTTGGTTGTGTGGCTTTTTAAATTATTATTTTATTAGGCTGTTTCTTTACATGCAAGTTAAAAAAGTAAAGGTTAAGAAAATGCTGCTTGCTGTCCCTGCTGGCAGTTTTTACTGTGGCTGTGCCTGAGGGTGTAGGGCTTTTTCTTCTGCCCCTACATAGAAAGCTAGCTATAAAAATAGAGTATTTATTGGAAAATAGAAGGATGGCAAATCTGCCCAGGGATGTGGCACTGCTTTTTGCTTTCCCCTGCAGTGTAACAGGATCACGTGGTGAGGAACCACCTAGTTCTGCACTTGTGCTCTCTAACAACTGTGTTTTGTGTGGCATGAACAAAGAATTAACCTTTTTGATATTTCCCATGTGAAATTTTTGTGTTAACAGAAGAAGGAAGAAGCTCAAGGTTTTGTTGACCATGAAAGAGTCAACAAGGTTATATTCCCAGATCTGAGTAGGTCCCATCTTGCCAGGACATACATGAACTTGTGAACCTTCTGGAGAGCACAGGTTTCCTCTCCACCAGATGAAAATCTGCTTACTATGGGAGAAAAATCATGCTCTGATGTTTTCTTACATCAGATTGGCTCTAGCTGTCTGATTATCATGCAGTATTTAATGAAAGATCAACTTTCCTTCATTCCCAGACATTTAATATAAAAAGAAACTAAGCAGTAATAAGGTGGAGCACAGGCCTCATGTTTCATACAGTAATTCCTCTTTGCTTCAAGATTTCTGTAACTTCCCTCCTCTGTAACATGTTAGGAGACAATGGGAAATCAGGTGAATTTTGTAAGGTGTTTTTACCCTTCATGGAGCAGTGTCCCAGTTGTTTCACTGTTTTTGAGAGTTTTGGGACACAACAATTGAGCACAGCAGTTTGGAACATAATCTTGCATTAGTTGTCAGGGCTCTTTTGTCAAATATCTCTTTGCCCTTTCCTGGGATCACTCAGTTTGAATCCCTTTGAAGCTGCCACAGCTACTGAAAGATGGACTTCCAGAGCAAATGGAAACTGGTATGTGCTGTCACACCATCCTTTCACATGGAATGTCTTGTCACTACATTTGCACACAAAGAGAAAATGTAAACTTTGTTTCACCTCTAGCTTGGTGAGGATTTGTTATAATAGACACCATTTTCCAGGAAGAAAAATATTCCTAAAGACATTTTGTGAGATTTAACATTGTGGGAATCTTCAAGAGGAAAGCATAACCCATTTGTTTCCTTTTTAAGCAGTCGCAAAGTAAGCTCCAGTACCAAGGGGCTGGTTTTAAAAATGGATTCTGACCTGTGTTCATTCATGAACACAGTGTATAATGAACACAGGCCTGGGGTCAAGTGACTCCAACTGAGAGGCAGTGCAGTCCTAACAGGAGCAGTGGCTTCTTCTCTCCAGTGGAGAGGCAGTGCAATCCCAACAGGAGCAGTGGTTTTCTCTCTTTGCACATCAGTGTGAGTGAATTGATTCATGTTTTGTGGCCTTTTGAGAGCCAGCATTAGCTGAGAAGAGCTTTGCTGCTGCTTCAGCTCTGCCTGTCAGCCAGCACCTCTCTGGGGTTTAATGGGTTCTGCTGCAGGTTGGGTGTCTCCCTAAACTCTGCAGGATCACTTGGGTAAGGCAGCACTGGTCCGTGGAGCCAGCAGTAAATTTGCAGGTGACACTAAGCTGGGAGAGTGTGCCCATCTGCTGGAGAACAGGAGGGCTCTCAGAGAGACCTGGAATGGTTGGATGGATGGGCAGAGCCCAGTAAGATGAAGTCTAACAATCCAAGTGCCAAGTCCTGCATTTTGGCCACAATAACCCCTGCAGTGCTCTAGGCTGGGGATGGTGAGGCTGGACAGTGCCCAGGCACAAAGGGACCTGGGGGCACTGGTGACAGCAGCTGAACATGAGCCAGCAGAGTGCCCTGGTGGCCAAGAAGGCCAAGGGCTCCTGGCCTGGATCAGGAATGGTGTGACCAGCAGGAGCATTGGGGCTGGGTTGGACTCGATGATCTTGGAGATCTCTTCCAACCCAGTCATTCTGTGGATCTGTCATTTCCAGGATAGGCCAACAGATTGGGGTTTAGGAGAGTTTTCCCTGCACCTTCCACTGCCTGATGGTGTGGGAGCTGAGGGCAAGCATCCAGGGTTTCCATGTCTGCCTTTCCCTTAATTTACCTGTTCTGGACACTGATCCTTCAGATGTTTGGGCACATGCCCACACCTCTTGAGTGCCATTGAGCCTCACCAGAATGGGGAAGGAGATGTGTAAGTTAATATTTGGAGGATCAGAATCCATGCTGTGTGGCAGAAATACTGTTTGCTTGCATGGTAACCAGCAGGGTATGACTTGTTAATAAAAATAAATATCCACCAAAGTTTTTTGGTTTTTTTTCACATGGTTTTCATTCAAGAAACCAGTCTAAAAAATTTTAGTTATTTCAGCCACTCACAGGTATTTATTTTATTTATTTGTTGTGTATTTTGGGCCACTATTAACTTGGAGGTTTTTTCCTTTCTGCCCAGTTATAGTTAATGGCTTAAAGCAAATTACAGAAACCTTTTTCTGTCAATATGTAGCTTTTCTGAAAACTCATGTAAGGGCTCCCAAGATCTTCTAGCCACCAGTGTATTTAAGTGACTTTTATGACCAATCACAATGTGATGCTATCTTTTCTGTGTCATTTAATGCTGTGTTCAGCTGACTCTGCATCAGTGAGGAAATACCCAGAAGTTGCAGGGGGAGTAAAATTTTTGTGGAAAAGTTTGGTCTGTGTTAGTGCTTCATGTTTGAGATAATACTGGCATGGTAGAGTTTGGAAAAACTCTGATATATATATATATAAAAATAGATATATATATGTTTATATATATATAAATATATATACTTATATATGATATATATATATAAATAGATATATCTATGTTTTTATATATATATATAAATATATATACTTATATATAAACTATATATATATTTATGTATATTTTTAATATATATATTCATATAAGAATTTTTTTCTCAATGAAGAAGACAAAAACAACAGACTGTGGCCAGTGGAAAATGCTGTGTTTTCCAGCATGCAAAATATACTTTATGTTCCTCATACCCTCAATTGTTTCATCTTACTCTTTACACCAATTCTTAACAATCTTAAAATAGTCCCCAAATTTTTTACTGCCTTCAAGATGGGGTTTTTTAAATAGGTTAAAAGCTTAGGCAGACTTCTGGTTTTTGTAGAATTCTGAAAATACAGGAGCAAAATATATGTATGTTTTTTGTAATTAAAAAAAAAAATGAAATCCAAAATCCCTTGGGATATTCTAGTGCTTTGTGTTGTCTTTCTGAGATGGTGCCATGCAGGGCCAGAAAGGGGGTGTACATGGAAGGGATGTGACCTCTCCCTTCTCCACTTCCCTCTGCCCTTTCAGGGATAGAAATGTCAGTGTCCAAACTCATGTGTACAGGGAATGGAGCAAATAAAAAAGGAAGGGGTAGGTAGATTTTTCCTTTGCTCCATGCTAAAGTGAAAAGTCTGTCTCTTTTTTTCTGGCATATTTTTTGGCTTTTTTAAAATGGAACAGTCAGAGGTGAGTCATGTGAAATATGAGTGCACACAAAATAAATGCAGAAAAAAAAAAGTTCTTTTATCTAAAGTTGCTTGAACAATTCTCTCAGCTTTAGTGACACCTGCAGTGTAAGGTGAAACCCTTCTAGGCAAAGGTTGTTAGAGATGTGATTATTATGAATTACATCAATCTAGCCACCAATTAACAACTTGAATAAATGATTACATTCATTATCAGGCATGATGTAAAGCTAATTGAAGTCTGCAGGAGTTTTCCTATTCAGTTTATGGAGCTTTGGATCAGGCCCAGAAGCATATAGCCAAATAAAAATAATTTTTCTTTTTTTAGTAGGTAATTTTCTTGTGTTCTATTTAGGTTGAGGAAAAACATTGAACCTTTCTGCACCTAACCTATGTGGCCCCATTAATAAAGAATGAGCCCTTCTTCTAAAACCCCTGACAAAATCCAGTTTCTGTCAAGAATATTATTGTTGTTTCCTTCCACATAAGGCCATGAGATGTGCTGGAGCTGCAGAACATGCTCAGCCCATGGAATTGCCAAATAATGTGTCAAAAATTGACATGTTTCTTTAGCCATCCCCACAATTAAAGAAGAGAAAGGCGAGAGAAATGAGTTTTTATAAGTTGTCAAAACAACCACTCCCTCCTTGCCAAGATTCTTTTATGAAAACATTTCAGGAGGAAATCATAATTTTTTTGTTTCTGTTGCTTTTTTCATAAGACTACAGGCACTGTATTGGCTATGTTTCAATGGGGTAATAATGATTTTCTTTATTGAAATGCTGTCTTTATATTTGTACACAATTACTCACTGTATTTTCTGAGCTATCTTGTAATAACATCCCTTGTTACTTGGACAAATATTTTAGTGAAATACTCTGCCTGTGCAAATAAATTCTGATCCCAGAGTAGTTTGAAGGGTGAGAAGAATGAAAAGAAAGGAAATCACTAGTAGTAAATCACAATTTCAAGTTACAAAGAAGGTGAGAAAGCAAACAGGGAACTGCCTTTCTGTGATGAGTGTGGAAAAAGAAAATCAGAAGAGCTAGCAATATTCTTAAAATTAAAAATGAGAAATAAAGGGATCTCCAAACCAGGTGAAGTTTTTCTTTGTTGTGTCACAAAGATTTAAAATGAGTCTTTGATTAGAAAACAAAAACTATATGAAAAGTTTGTTTAATTGTAATTAGGATAGTTTCTGGCTTTGTGGGTTTTCTTTTTCTTTTTATTGGCAGGTTCAGGCAGTGGCAGCATAGTGGCACTACTGACGTCTGATAGTTATTATAAAAATGTTACTATGCTTAAAAGGAAGTCAGGTGAGGACAGTGATGAGAAGCTGAATTTTGTGTCCCTGCTCTTCCTGGCTGTGCTGGTCTGGCTCATTTGACTGCAGCAGCAGAGCTCAGGGAAGGAGGACAAAGCATCTCTCTGAAATGGCCTCCTGAGTCCCTCTTGCTGTGCTGGAATCTGTGATAATTAATACACTTTAAAGCACACTGAGCACCTGGAATGACTCCTAAATGAAATAACTTTGTGTTTGGCTGTTCCTGATTTGAGCTTTGAGGCAGAAGAAAAACAAAGATACTTCTGAATACCTTTTGGATGTTGGCATTAAAAATTACATGTGATATAGAAAGGAAAAAAACTGAATCCAGCCTTGATAAAACATGTTCAGGCTTCTCATGCCTGAGGTTATTTGTGGTATATTGAGTAAGGAAGTATTGGAGAGGGTGGTAGAACTCAAGCAGCACTCATCCTTTTCATTTATTATTCCTCTTAAGTTGTTTCCGATGGTGTAAGAAGCAAACAAGTGTCTGTATTGTTGCCATCTCTGATATTTCAGGTCCTTGCTGGGTTTAATTTACTCAGTCCAGTGTGTAATCCATTTGTGTAAAACATTGCATAGTGCAAAAATAAATTCAAATTAATTCTGTCCTTTCACATGCCAAGGTTAGGTTGAAAGTGCGCCCAGATCCTTCAGGTACTGGAGAGATAATGTGTTCCTTTTGCTCTTTGCTCATTTTCTCCATCTTCTCATCATCTAGATATTCACATAAGGAGTTATTTATATAAAGTAGAAATACAGAGTTACACTATTTGAAACAAACTTCTCCTCTAACCCTTAGTTCATTGTGGTTTTTGTGTGGGCTTGAGGGTTTTAGTATAAAGGCTCTTTGGCCCTTCAGGTGCTTTTGCAGTAAAGAATTTTAAAATCACAATTAATGGTGTCTTTCCTTCAGTTATTTCCCCACTGTCCATAAGTTTTATTTCAGTGAGTCCTCAATTCATAAGGAGCATTTTATATTTTAGTTCAGTAGAACTTCAGTGGATGCAGACAGTTGATTTTTTGAATCCTTTACAATTTTGGCATTTACCGTGTCATGTGTCAGGGAATTTTACAGGTTGATCTTTACTTTCCACGAAGAAAAATCTCAGATTTTAACCCTATTGGATTCCTGTCTCTTTGAATGCCCATGAGGGACTGGGAAGAAGCAGTGAACAATTGTTTCATGCTTACTCACCTCTTCCTTGCCACTCAGGATTTTAGAAGCTTTAATCATGTCCTTTCTCCCCCACTTCTCTGGTTATTCCTGGTTTAGAAGCCGTTCTCTGGTTTTGATCATCCTTGCAGCACTCTTAAATCTTTTTCCTGCTCAGTTTTTTCTGAAAGGAGCAGCCCAGGAGAGTGTACAATATCCAGCTGAGTGCTCTGTGTATTTGTGTTGTGGCACAATGGTGATTTGCTTTTTTTCTGTCCTGTGATTTTTGGAAAAAAACTTTATATAAAAAACTTGTAAAAGCTGTGAGGTAGGTGTGTATTTTTATTTAGTACTGGCTGCATGCAGGATAGTTCTTTAAAGAACATGTGCACTCTCTAGGAGTCTAGTTTCTTTTTTTTGTCTCTTAATTTGTTGTATATGTGTAATGTTTTTCAATAGCTTTATATTTATATTATATAATTTATATTATTTTATATAAAAATACACTATGTTTATATAAATATAAAATAATTAATCTATATAATTAGATATACATACATTATTATAAATAAATACTATTGTATAAATATGTATAATAAATATATATCCTAAATATATATACCTTCTAGTTTGTAAGTTTACATTATTTATATTTTGTTTGAGGTAGTTCTGTAAGTTACGGCTTCTTGTTTCAAGGTCTAAGGGTCTCTTCTTATCGTCTAGTTTGGAAGTTTGTTACTTTTATTTTGTTTGAGGTAGTTCTGTAAGTTACGGCTTCTTGTTTCAAGGTCTAAGGGTCTCTTCTTATCGTCTAGTTTGGAAGTTTGTTACTTTTATTTTGTTTGAGGTAGTTCTGTAAGTTACGGCTTCTTGTTTCAAGGTCTAAGGGTCTCTTCTTATCGTCTAGTTTGGAAGTTTGTTACTTTTATTTTGTTTGAGGTAGTTCTGTAAGTTACGGGTTTTTCACAAGCCCAGTAAATTAATTAGACTAAGCAAGTTAATTCCAAACTGCACACTTCACCCAAATCTGCAGTGGATTTGTAACTGAAGTGAATTCCGAGCTTGGTGTCTCACCCGTTCCTGGGAAATGTGGACACCCAGGTTCCGTTTCCGAGCGCTCGGTGCTGCCGGGATGTTTTCTCCTCGGTTTGGGGGGCTGTGTGCGTTCCTGACAGCAGCCCTGTCTCTGCAGCTGCTGATGGCATGGTGTGCAACGAGCTGTGCTCCAGTGACGGCTGCTGGGGGCCGGGGCCAGACCAGTGCCTGTCCTGCAAGCGCTTCATCCGGGGCAGGACCTGCATCGACTCCTGCAACCTCTACGACGGGTAAGACGCTCCCTGTGGCTTCTCCCCAAAGCTGCCAATTAGCATTGTTGAGGACTTCACTGAGTAAGTCATTTGGGGTTTGTATTAATCAGTATCTGGCTCCACTGCCAGTATTACTGATTTGGGGTGAAAAGTGTCATGGGGTAAGATTTAAGGGTTTTTGGATCTGAACCTGTGTGGAACACTTTCCCTGGTATGCCACTGACTAAAGTTTTCATGCAGCATCATCACCTTGCACCTTTTGCATTGCTGGTAACGTGAACAGTTTGATTTGGGTGAAAAGTTACCAAGCCCCCTCATTTTTCCCTCCTTGATGCCCTTATTCAGAACCACACAATTGTATTCTTTCAGATGAGTTGGATTGAGGCATCTGATAAAGAAATTCTCTGAATAAGGACCCCAAAGTAGCAAAACTCACTCTCTTTTTCATAATGCAATGTGTAATGGCACACACAAATATAAATCTAAAAACCCAACAGGACTTTGCCCATTTTCCTTTTGCTGCGTATACTGGGGGAATACCTCCACAGCACAAGGTGGTTGAATCTGCCTTATGACAGAAAAATAAAGCTGAACTAAGCCAAATGAACTCCCAGAAATGCATGAAAATATTCTCAACTCTTCCATCTGGAGAAGGTTGGCAAAGAATACTCTGTTAGAGCACAGTTTTATTTACTTAAAAGGTCCTCTTCTCTCCACCTCCTTCATTTGCCAATAAGGAGAGTTGCAGACCCCAATTGTGGTGTCAGTGCACTAGAATAAGTTGATCCCCCTTGGTGACTTTTGCTGCCATGGAGCCTGTCTCAGTAAGAGCATGATGAGACTCAATGAGTATGTTCTGTTCTCTATCCATCAGTAAATGGTATTGACACTTTCCACAGGCTCTGTTCTGTCCTAAATATGTGAAAATATTTATAACCTGGGCTGGGGGAGAACTTTGTTTGTGGGACAGCTCTGCATGTTGATGTTGTAGGGCAGCAACAGTCAGGGTGGGGGTCAAGCTGTGTTTGGCATCTCTTTTAGTCCTCAGCAGGAAAAATCTACTCCCAGAGCCAGGGAAGAGTGAGCTCTAGTGAGGTTTTCCTCCATCCTGATGTCCTCAGCAGATCCCAATGGCTGTAGAGGAATAGAGGGTGAGCAGTGATCACCTGAGCTCACAACCTTTACCTGGATGCTTCTGGAGCCTCTTAAAATGAGTGTGCAGCACATCTGTAACTAGTTAATGCAAATATTGTAATTGGTTAATGCAGCAAGATGGGATCCCCCTGCAAAGCTTGGCCTGGTCTACTCTGAGCCTGCTACAAAGATTCACTCTGTCTTTAGTGGGGGAGAAGCAACTTACTCAGATGTAAATTCATTTTGGCCTAGAAGAAGGTGGGATGGATTGTGTTGGGAGAGTGCTGGAGGTTTGTGGTGAGAGGTAACTGGCAACTGAAATATTTGAAGGAAAAAATTCAACTGCCATCACTACCTTTTTTCCCCCTCTTAAAAGCGGTTAATAAAAAAAGTCACTTGAGTGGTGGTTTCTTGTGGATCCATTAAATAAATCAGTAAAAGGATTTGTTTTGACATTTTATAGATTGAGAGCTCAGTCTAGAATTATTGCTGAAAACATTATGAGCCTTTTGGAGAACTGTCTTTAAAACATGTGCTCAGAGACCTACCTGAAACAAGGGCAGCTGTCATCAGCGCTCACATGTGGCTAGTTGCTTCCTGAGCCACAATCCTGTAGGTGAATATCAAGAAGTCAGCAGTTTTGTCCTGTTAATAAAGTCTGCATTTCTGAATGAGATGAAGGCCCTCACTATAATTTTATAGTGGTGAGGAAGGTGTCTCTGCTTCACGTGGCTGTGACACCTGCTGGCCTCAGTGCCCCTGAGATCAATTCCATCCGGTGAAGACCCAGCCAGGTGAGCTCCGTTTTGGCCTGGAGTCAGATTTCTCCTAACCTGCCTGCAAAATATTTCCTCAGGGAATTCCGAGAGTTTGCAAATGGCTCTGTGTGTGTGGAGTGTGATCCGCAGTGTGAGAAGATGGAGGAAAACATGATCACCTGCTACGGGCCGGTAAGGACACAGCCTGTTGTGTTTGTAGGGTTTGGTCTGCTTGGTTTGTTATGGCTCAGGGTAACCTGCAAAAATATAGTGCAGGATAAAAAAAATTAATGAAACAAAAGCAGAAAACACACATTTTCTGCATGTAAGGAAGGAATTCTGCTCGTGCTAAATTGGTGATTGGATCTGCCTCCTTAAGAAAGTGATCTTAAGTTTTCTTTCCTGAGTTGTCTCAATGCTTTAGTGGTACAGATACATGCAATTTTTACAGACTGACAGCATGCAGTTGGGGTTTGAGTGCCCTCTTTCATCCCTATTTTCAGAAAAAAAGTGGGGGAATTTGTCTCAGTCCCTCAGTTTGAACAGTATGCTGGGAGGTTTTTTGTACTTTAATAGCCTTTAAGTTCTTTTGATAGATAACATTTTTAATGCATCCTAAATGATGGTTAATTCTTTCTCACCTTTATAATGGCCAGTAACTTTTCTTTCAAAGGTTATTGCTCATTTGGGAGATAGAAATTGTCTCTTTGTTCTAGTTTTCTGTGTATTGCCAAGATTAAAAGTCCCAAGTATACTGGAAATGAGGAGTTGTATTTTAGGCTTTTCATAATTGAGAAAATATAGCCTGTAATTTATTTCTTTATTTCTGTGACTTACTCAATGGAAAAAAGAAAGGCATCATAATTTTTCTTACAATACTGTGTTTTTCTGCAATACAGCCATAAGGCAAGAAGCTAATGTTTCAAGTGTTCAGCCCATTAGGGAAATTTGGATTTGTTGCAGGGCTTATGGACATAAAATCCTAGGCCAATGCTCAACCTGATATAGTTATACACTGGCTTATCATCACAGCTTTAAAATTTTACATTGTTCAGGAGTCTTGGTTTGTTGGTCTTAACAATTTGGTCTTCATGTGTATTGAGAAGGAGACCTTGTAATCGTTTATCTTGTAGAATGAAGGACCTTGTAGTCCTTCATTCTTGCTGTGACCAGATGCCATGTGCAGAACGCTTGTGGAAAATAGTTTTGAAGTGCAGAGGCAGGAGATCCCACTGAAGGGTTTACAAAGCTGCTTCAGTACTCAATAGTGTAGCAGAAACTTTCTCAGCATTAAAGTGGGCGCTGACTTCACTGTATTAAGCACACCAATATTATTAAAAAGCTGGTATTAGTCTTGAAGCTGGTATTTAGTCTTGCACTCTACAGAAGAAGCTAATGGCCAAAAGCAGCAGGAATTATCTGAGAGGCTGGTGCCATGCAGGTAATTCACTGATCCTTGGGAAGAGAAGCTGCTGCAGGTGCTGCTGAGTGTGTGCCAGTGCAACCCTAGTGCAGCAGGAAAGGACAGAGTAACTTCAATGCACTGCATTTCTTTCTTCCACATTCTCCAGGGACCTGACCACTGCACAAAGTGTTTCCATTTCAAGGATGGTCCAAACTGTGTGGAAAAATGCCCTGATGGCTTGCAGGGGGCCAACAGCTTCATTTTCAAGTACGCTGATGAGGATCGGGAGTGCCATCCCTGTCATCCCAACTGCACCCAAGGGTGAGTGCAAGCTCTGCAGGGAGCCCTCCAATCCATGCACTGCTCCTAGCACAGGGGGCTTTGTAGCTCATTTGGCTTAGTAAAGCACTTGTCCCACTCCTGAAAAGAGAGTGTGCAGTAGGAATTTAACCTTTGATTTTCAGGTCTCTCATGACGTTCAGGTTTTAGTCATGAATGTCCAGCAGTTTATCACAAAAAAACCCTTTTGAGGACCACAGAGAAGAACTTTCCACAGCAATGCTCTCAGTTTTCCTTCTATGCTGGTTTGTAGCAAATACTGCCCTTTCACTTAATTTTAGGCCTGTAAAATGACCTTTTTTTTAGTATTTGCTCCTTGACATAATCTTTGTTATTTGGTATTGGTGAGCTAAGCCAGCAGCATCACTGTGAGACAAAAGTGTTACTGCTCTCCTTTCCTTACAGGGACTGATGCACAGAGTTTGAAACCAGACTTTGTACAAGAGCCTGAGACTGAGCATCAATTTCTGAAGTCCTGTTAAATTGTCCAGAATAATTTATTACACTTGGAATTTGTTACACTTGGAATAATACAGCCCATGGATCTGAGCCAGAATTAAGAACCTGTACAACACAACAGTAATAGTCACATGCACACCTATAGTTTTGCACAGGCCATGTAAGTTATTACTGCCTTTTCCATGGGGCAATTCAGAGTGTCCAGCATACAAGGAGAGGAAGAGGCAGCAATGGGAAAAAGAGAAAACATCAGCCAGTGAAATAATCTTCAACAAGAGGCTCTTATTGTTTAGCAGCTAAAATTAAACCAGTAAATTATTCAATGTAATCTTGATGTCAACAGCTGTTGCCATTCAAAATGAGACCTTTTGCTGGTTTTGCAAATCTAATTACAATAGAGCCATTAGGGAAATGAGAGGGAGATCACAGAGACACAGCCAGGATCTGTTACAGATTTGTCTCCCCCCGCCCCAGACCCTTTAAATCAGTTATGCAATAAGGAAAACACTGCTACTGTGGAAGAGGGTAAGAAGAAAAGACATTAAAAGACAAGCTCGCTCCAGGAGCTCTGGTCCTGGCTTATGTAGATGGAGAAGGTGCCAGTGCTGATCTAATCTGACAAAACCACGGATGTGTGATGGATTTACTGTCTGCCCAGCATAGGAAGTGCCTTGCAGCTCTCCTGACCTCCAGTGAGCAACCTTTCATCCTATTCCCTCCTCTTCCCTGAGGAGTTCTAACTGGCCCAGCTGTTTCTAGTGTTTGTGTCCCAACTGTGTTACTCCTAGACCAGGAAGGGAGCAAAAGGTTTTCCATGCCTTTCCACCTCTCCATAGGCATTCGTATTTTGCAAGTGGTTGTTTATTTTTATCTGCCTGGATTGAGAAGAAAGAATGTCACATTTTCAGCACTAGACATAAAAACCTAAGTCAAGCACAAATATGAAGGGCATTAGGCAGTTCTATCTGACCTTGGCAGTCCTCATTGGCAGCTGTTGCTGACACTGGGTTCCCTTATGCCAACTGATGTTGTCCTTTTAATCTTTGGACTTCTGGTTTCCCTCTTTATTTTATTCTTCTGATTAGGTGAAAGAATGTCCCACAGTGTGCCCATCCCCATAAAAAGGAGTAGTTAAAGGGCTAAAGGTCTCTCCCCACTTATATACACAAAGCCCATGATATTCCCATCTCCCAGATGCGAAACTATCCCTTTTCCATGACACTAATTTCCCTGTGGAAATCTATGTCCTTTTATTAAAAAGTTGATGTGTCTATTCTTAGGTATTTTTTTTATCCTTTAGAAAAACAAGGTTCTCTTCCCCCCACATCTGGGTAAGCATGGCTTACTATCCTTTTTTGTGTTCCTAGAGACTTTGTGGCATGTGATTATGTTAATGAAGCTATATAAGACTGTCCAAGATATTTGGGGTTTGCAGGTTGTCCATCTTCTTGCCAACATTGTCAGGGCCTGAATATGCCCACAGAGAGAAGGGAAATAAGTTAATAAGTTACTCTCTCCTTTCCTCCTTCAAGGCTGAGTTCTCTGGTTTCATACCCTTTCTTTAAGAAAGTAGTATTTAAATTCCCCTTAGTCATGATTCTTCACTGAAATAGGTTGTGGAGAGAACACAGCTTGCTGTTTGGCTCTTGGCTCAAAGGTAGAGAGAAAACGTAATTCTGCTTCATCCCCCACATCTGTTCTCCTGGCTGCCAGATCAAGTGCTGGAATTACTCCAGTGCCCTCTCTGTACAGCTGGGATACCCATCCAGAAGGGCTGAGCTGCTGCAGAGCGATGCTTCCCAGTGTGGTATCATCTCATTCCTGCAGTGCTGCTTGATAAAATAGGTTATTAGTTCTCACATGATGTGTCCAGTCATGCCCACCAGTTGTCACCAAGGAAGGACCTGTCCCACCTCTGTTTCCTGTGTTTTGCCACAAGTTCCATCTTGGCATTTGCAGAGGGCTGCTTTAGTGAGGTTTGCTAGCACTATTCTCTTCCTTTATTTAAGTGTAATGACTGTTTCTCTTAATAGGTGTGTAATTATCCAGCCCTGTTAATGATCTTGCTTTGGCCAGAAGGACTGTCAGACAGTGACTTCCTTGGGTGCAACAACTGTGCTCCTGCCCTTGTATCCCTGTGATAAGTATCAGCGACTTGCAGCCAGTTTGGAGCAGGTCTGAGGCACGTGGGACAGCTATCCCACTTAATTCAAGAGAGTTGGAAAGCATTTGGCACCTCTTCTAGCAGAGCCAGCCAAAACTGAACGCTTCCACAGGAATAAAACACTAATTACACAATAGCAAGTGACAGCCTGCTTCCTTGCTGGGCAGGACACAAATGGGAGATCTCACTGGACACTTCCCCTCATCATACAAATGTTTTGTTGCACAGCTTTTTGAAGGGAGGCCATTGCTCCTCACCAAAATGCTCTTTTCCTTCTAAGCCATGACCAGAGAAGTCAGGGGAGCTCCAGCAACAGTGTGTGGTCCTGAAAGGATTTGAGGGCAGAAGCACCGTGTTGTCTCTAAAGATTAGGTGTATTTTTAGGAAGAAAGTTTGAATTCCAGATGACAGAATGTTGCAAACACACTCTGGATAAGAAGAACTGTTACTCTTTCATTTTGCAAAGTTTCCTCCTAGCCCCTGCTCCAGTTCAACTTTGCTCCTCTCACCTGTTAGCTCAGTAGCCCTTGGGTAGAGTTGTCAATAGTTGGATGACCATCACAAAAAAGGGTTTTCTCCTTCCCAGAGATAATCCACTTACACCATTGTAAAATCAATTTTGTTTGTTTCCATTGACCAAGATTTTTGAGAATCCATCTGGCATGGAATGGCTTTGCTACCCCATATCTGTGCAGTTGAAACCGCACCTTTCAATCTTAAAGAAGGTTGATAAATGACAATATTTCTGGATTATTCCTGGAAAAAAAAAATCTAGTTGTTACTGCAATTTTCAAAACCCCAAATTTCCTTTCAGAGGATGAATATCTATTAAGCTAGGATGAGCTCCAAGTGTAATTTTCTGGATAAGCTGTATTGAACTTTTGTAAGGTACTAAATATATCATTAATGAATTGGCATGTCTCAATTAACCAGTTCATTTTTCAGAGCCAACTTGGAAAAGAAAATATCATCCAGACTCCAAGCAGAAGGAACACTGGGTGTGAACAGCATGATGTATGATTTTGTCAGGCTTATATGGGTCAAAAAGCCTGAAATGAAGGGAGTTCCCTCCTGGGGAAAAATACCTGATGACTTGGTGGTACAAAATACCCCGTGAATAAATATTGCCATGACTCACACAGTGTTGTACTTCCCTGCATGTAATCAGGACAGCCACTCAAGGAGGAAACTGGGAACTGCCTAACTAGGAGTAATGGAATTGCACCTGGACAGAGTTTTCTCTTTGGGGAAGTCAAGCCCACTGAAGAAGATTACAATTTGAAATGAAAATCATGATACTTCAACTTGCACTGGGTGAGGTCCAGCAGTAGCAATTTGGATTCAGTCCTGTTCTCCAAATGAGCATGTGAAGTGACTCCAAGACTACAGGCTCTTGATGTCAGTCTGCCAGTTCTCTAAACCAGTAGCAGGCTCTCAGACCTCGAATTTGAGGATGTCCTTCTTTTTATTTACAGCAACAGTCAGTCCTGTTCTCCAAATGACCATGTGAAGTGACTCCGAGACTACAGGCTCTTGATGTCAGTCTGCCAGTTCTCTAAACCAGTAGCAGGCTCTCAGACCTCGAATTTGAGGATGTCCTTTTTATTTACAGCAACAGTCTAAGCTCAGCTTTTTTTAGTGTGGTAGGAAATGGACAATCTGAGCAATTCTTCAGCCTCCTTCATTGCTGAGCTTGTTTTTTTGCGAATTGCTGAGAATGCCACGAAAGGAAGAAACATTGGATGTGTTTGAGATGGATTAGAATTCAGACAGTCCTGAATTCTGAAGTGCTGATGCCCAGGTCAGCTGAAATTCCAAGAGTTCTCTCTATTAAGTTTTTGAACTGTGTTTAAATCAACCCTTACATTTATGCATTATCTGGATATTTAACACATCTTTTTAATGTCTGCACGTATGCTGGAGAAAGCAATCATTGAGGAAATCCTTCCAGTTTGTATTTGCATATCAGAGTAAATGTCTTATGTAAAAATAAGAATTCAAGTAAACAAACATGGGGTAAGGTTTACTTGGACTGCTCTCCCTGATGAGCAGGTACAGGGAAATTGAATTCATTTTATAATGGCAGAGTGATACCAATTTAAATGCAGCAAAAGCTGAGGAGTGGCAAGTGATGGTGAAGCAGAAAGAAGATCTCGTGGGAGCTTATTTGAACTCTCAGATTTTTTGACATGCATATCCTTCCATCAAAGCCAATCTGAAAAACAGCAAACTTTGAAAGCGTTGGGGATCACACCTTAAATTTAAAATGCCTCAACAGAAATAAGTTGCAGTCTACTGATGTGTCAGATCACCTTTGCTGCCTGTAGTGGATGTACCGCCACAGGGCCTGTTAATGAAATGGCTCTGAGATCTTCTTAAAGAGTTGAAATTAATGGTTTGGTTTCCTTAAATGCTGAGGGCCAGGTACTCCCATGCTAGAATGCCTAGCTGGGTGTGCAGCACTGAAGGGAGTTTTTTCAGGTGTTTTTAACCCCCAAAACCTCAGCTTTAGGTCTCTGAGAATCCTGACTGCTGTGTGTGTATTTGACTTGATGTTTGAATGCAGGGGCCCAGGAAAGCAGTCCTGCTCTTCATGGGGGCTAGGGAAATCCACACATGCCACATGTGTTCTGCAAACTCTTTTCCATGGCTGTGTTTTAGTGGTGCTGCATTTAGGGATTCCTTGCATTTCCAATGCCCTTGGTGAGCACCTGCTGATTGTGCAGGTGGAGGACTTTTGGCAGCATTTAAGGAAAGCAGAATAAAATGTCTGAATCAGCAGACACCATTTTGCTGTGGTTTTTGTTGCTGGAAGTTGATCCTTGAGCTTCCCTGTTGAAAAAAGGATTTTCAGCTTCCAAAATATTTCTTCAGTTACCCTGCTGGGATCTTAGAACAAAATGAACAATTGCATCAATTACAGAAAGAAAAGCAAGTTCTGGATTGTGCTCCTGGAAATCTCGACTTGTAAATGAACACCTTTTGTGCAGTAATCACTGGTTTGATGACTCATAAAAACACACAGGAAAAGCAGCCCTGTTGTCAGGACTCCCACATACACTGGTGAAACCTGCCTTAAGTATTGTTTGAGCCAAGATATGGCCTGCCTTGGAATGCCATTGCTATTATTGTTCCTCTTGTCACAAGCTATAATTTTTGGTGACACAGGTCTCTTTTAGCAAGAGAAGAACTAGAATTAAGAACACAAAGGGGCTTCCTGCTCGTTGGGTGTGTAAATAACAGCTGTCTCTCTTTCTCTCCCTGTTTCCACTTTGGATTTGCTGCAGGTGCATAGGGCCACACCTGGAGGACTGCATTGGGCTGATGGATAGGTACTGGCTGGGTGCTGGCTGCCTGTGTGTCTCCATCCTGCACGTGTGGACAAGGGCGCATGCCTGTGCATGTCCTGGGGCGTGGCAATGACGTGGTTTGTTCTGTAATTGCCTGCAGGTGTAGAGGCCCAGCTAGTCATGACTGCATTTTCTATCCATGGACACGGCAGTCCACTCTGCCACAGCACGCTAGGTAACATCCCCACCCCATCCTTCACACCTGCCCGCCACTGAAATGTCATAGCAGCCAGTTTGAACACACACCCACCTTGGATTCTGGGAGATCTGCCTCTCTACATCCAAATTTGCTTTCTGTTTGAAAGCCAATTAGATATTCTGCTCATTTAGACTGATTTTTAAATTTGTTTTTATTTTTAGCTTAAATCAATAAGGATTAAATTCTGAAATTTCCTTTAAGTATTCATATTTCCAGATTAAATTTTATTAGATGGTAAAATTGGAATGCACTTATTTTCTCTTTATTGGGTTTTTTTTGTTGTTATTTTTTGCTTAAGACAAAATTTAAAAGCAAATTAGTCTCTTTCTTCCATACGCCTTCCCTTGAAAAAATAAATGTTGTAACAAAACAAAATTTCTTCCATACTTCATATAAAACTATTATTTGATTCTTTTTTTCATTTTCTGTTTAAAAGAAAAATTGTAACCTTGCAGCAGTTTTATTTTTCAATAATGACAATTGAAACAAATTAATGTAGGCTTTATTCTGCATTCTTTTTCATGAAATCTCTACATTGCCATTGAGTTTGTTCATTCTTAAATTCAAACTGGTTAATATGACTTCTAGGCTTTGGGATTACTTTCCTGAGCTAAGACTAGATGAAAAATGCATAAATTCAATCAAACCCATCTCATTAAGATTTTCAATCTGAGTTTTTTTTCTTGTCTTTTTCAAAAGGTTTTAAGGTTGCCTTTCCTTCCTAATTGTGTACATAATGTGAATATACCTATTTCTAGTTTATGAGGGAGAATATATTTGGACTTGAAAAACAGTGCACTATAAATGCTATCAAATGGTACATTTGTTTATTAAATCAGTATCAGTTCTGACTTAATTCATTAAGCAATGAATAAGCAACAGGAGATGCATTTTTCAATATTTCAATGTTTTGTTTTAATCTTCCTGATCTGGGATATCCAGTTTGAGATACTTCTGTGGGGCCTCATTTTCAGATGGACTTACCCAAACCACGCTGCCCCAGTTTTAAAGGCCCCAATTTCATCAACTTTACTCAAAACACAAATACAGAAAATGTGTTATTATAATAATTAATATATATATATACACACATGTATATAATGTGCTGTTATTATTATTACTATTATTTCCTTAAGTTTAAGGGCCTTATCAAACTACAGAAATGAGAGGAATTTGTTTACTCTGTTCAGTGGTTTTACTCCTGCTCTATTCAGTCTGAAGGGGAAGGCCCTCAAATGTTTCCCGTTTCCTTTGGATCTGATGGATATTTTTTTTGTTTGTTTCAGCCTTGCTGAATTTATTCTAGGAAAACTACTGCAGTGTGTTTAAATGTCAGTATGTATTCTTTCACTTTCAAGGCAAAGAAGGGAACTTCATACCTCTATATTAGATTTGTGAAATTGTGGTTTGGTTGTTTTGTTTTTTTAATTGTGAAAATTATTCATTCTATTTGGGCTAAAAATGGGCAAAACTGCACTGGCAAAGTGACATTTTTTGTTGTAAATTCAAAATGGATGTGTTTAACTTCAGATAGAACCTTCTTCATGTCTTTTTAACAGCTGTGCACCCTCCTGAGACATATAAATTTGAAATTAATTAATAATCAGTCTGACCCTTAACTTGAGTTTTTTCCATTGACGTGAATTATCAGTGAGTAGAAGGGGACAGGTTTTTCTGCTCGAAGTGAGAGCAGGGCTTTAACCCAAAGAAGGGATTGCTCATCTTCTCCTATTTCCATTTTCATAGCAGTGTTGCTTTCCTTTCCAGTTTTTTAGTTTGCAAATTGTTTATGCCATGATCCATTGACTTGAAGGCTTTTGTGAGAGTCTGGTAGAATAGCAAAGGAATTCTTTCTGTCGTGTTTAATCAAGAGGAATCAGATGTGCATCACATGGCTTGTTTTCCAAATGGCTGGTGAAACTTCAGGTTTTCTGCTTTAGTCCCTTCAAGTTTGTGGGTAAACAGCCTTACTTTTGGCAATGCATTTCTTTCTTCATAGTTTGGTTTTGGGGATTTTTAACCTTTAGATTTAACAGAGTTCTGTCCAAAAGGAAAGCTGCTCATGCAGCTTCCTGTATGGATTATTTCTCTAGGGCTTTGGTTTTGGTTCCACCTTCCATACCAGTCTTTCCTAGAAATTGCCAAAGCAAAGATGGAAAGCAGAGGAAGGCTGGAATTTCCTAGGATTCCCAAAGAAGTTATCCATCCTCCTTTCCTGCCTCTTATTACAATGCCACTCCTCCTTTTGCTACTTCCTGGCAGTTGCATTCAGTGTTTTTTGTGGTTGGAACAGCACACAATAGAACATGCCAGCATGTTCTGGAGCAATCAGCAAAAACATGAGTATGTCTGCTCCCTAGAATGGGATAACCGTTGTCTAAAAGGATGATTCAAAAACGGTAAAAATAATGCTCTGTTATTCATTAAGAAAATATTCTAGAGAGTCAGGAAAGGCTGGTTCTTTTCATGTTCACCAGAAAAATTTGGCTAGTGCAGTGATTGGAGTGAGGCTGTGGACAAAGCTTTTATCTAAAGTATGAATTTTAATTGGTTTATCCTTGCTAGGCTTCATTCAAGTTAATACTATGAGAGAAGAGATCATCAAAGGAGTGAAGTTTCTGTTTTCTGATGCATCTGAGATTGTATATCTGGAGATGTGATCAGGAGCATGTGTTGGATGTGATAGGAAAGAACCAGCACTGATGTTCTGGTCTGAGTAAGCTGGTGTCTCTGTTTACGCCCCAAGAAAATTTCATTTACATTTCCCTTTTAACTAACAGAAACTAATTAGCCAGGCCCACTATTGTCAAGTGCTTCAATAGAATGTTGTGTAGATGTTAACTCTAATTACAATGTTGTTGCTAGTTTTGTATCCAAAAAGGATGTCCTCTCAACAAATCGTCACTTCCTCAACAGCAGCAAAAAAAAAAGCTGGTTTTATCTGCTGCTAATGTGTACAAGAGCTAATTAACAGTAAACCCTGTGTAATGCAAGCAAATCCTTTCATAGCTGTTTTGTACCCTGTCACAGTATGACTTCAACAGAATTTCACAGCAGCTCTCAGTAGTTGGTGGGGAAGGGAAACCACCTCTAATAAAATGCTTATGTTCATGGTTTTCACGGTGCTCAGCTCCATTGCTTGGAGGAAAGCACTCCATATGCTCTCTGCTTTTATAGAATAATTATATTATTCTGCAAGGGCAGAGGATCTCTGCAAATAAGAGGGAAAATAAGATCTGTGAGTACCAGCTAAACTATGTTACTTGGTTGGTAGAAGATGCTACTCTCAAGAGACTCTTAATATGGAGCTTTCTGAAGCTGTATCAGAACAGAGCAGTTAAAGAAACAGATTTTTTTTTTTTTTTAAGAATCCAGACTAGAAAAAATAGTTTCAGATCCTTCCTCTGTGGGTTGCATAGATCTTCCATGTCATCAAACAGGACAAATTCACAGAATCACAGAATGAGCTAAATTGGAAAAGACCTTTGAGATTATCAAGTTCAACCTATGACCTAACACCACCTTATCAGCTAAACTGTGGCACTGAGTGCCATGTTCAGTCTTATTTTAAACACCTCCAGGGACAGTGACTCCACCACTTCCCTGGGCAGCCCCTTCATCTTTTCTGTGAAAACTTCCAATGCCCAACCTAAACCTCCCCTGTGTCTTCCTGTCCCTTGCTGGTTGCCTGGGAGAAGAGACCAACCCCTACCAGGCTATACCCTCCTTTCAGGTTCATGAAAGAGACTCATAGAGAAATCCCAGTTCTGGGAGTGACTTTGCCTATTCTGAACTGGTTCTGAAGCCAGACCTTTGCTGAGGGTTCTTGCCATGGCATTTCCCTGGCTGGAGCTTTAGGAGGGAGTGCCTTTGGAGTACCCCTGGGACATCAGTGAAAGGCACTGCAGTGATCTTGTGAGCTCCTCCAGTTTTTTACCTCTTCCACATTTTAAGACTGGCCTTCTTGTGAAAGGGTATAGATGGGTATTCCTTCTTTCCTGTTGTACAGATAGAATCCTGAAATGGGGGTTTGGGTTGGAAAGGGCCTTAAAGTTCATCCAGTTCCAGCCCCCCTGCCATAGGCTGGGACACCTTCCACCAGACCAGGCTGCTCCAAGCCCTGTTTGTTGTACAAGGAGTAGAATGTGGGCAATAAATCCATGCAGCATCTTGATATTGTTGATACTCATTGACCAAGTTCCTCAGCAGCTGCTGTTGGTTTTGATAAGAAAATTCTTTGTTTGAAAAGTTGACTAAGTTATCTTTACTTAAACTATGAGCAGAAAAAATGAGTGATGAAGGCCAAATGTGATAGATCACTGCTGAAAAAAAGAAGCAATAGGAAATGCTAATTAATAAATGGTTTATTAGAATGGAAAACAAGACACAGTGCCATTGCAGAGGTGATTGCTTTGGTTTCTCATCACCCTTGTGTTGTGGGTCTGTATTGATTTAGCTGCACAAATAATATACCTTGCAGAAATAAAATTTTGCCATGGAGAAGTGACCTTATTATAAAGCAACAGTATATATCTCACCACTCTCCAATGGGTTTCTCTCATGGCTGGAAATAAGGATTTAATTTAGGTTTAATTTTGTTATAAATTAATTATCTATTATTAAATATACATTTGTAGAGCTTTCGAAATATGGAAGATGTAGGGTTGTTTAAACCTCAGTGAATAGTTCCTTAATAATTCATTAATATTTATTACATAAATCAGAACTAAAGCTTGTGGTCTTACTTCCAATCTACCTGTGCAATGTGGATTGGTTACTCTTTCTTAGTTAGAAAAATTTACATGACAAATGTATTAGAGTTGAGAGCCCAGCCCCGACTTAATTCTCTGCAATTTGGGTTACTCCTTGTGGCCTTACTCAGGTGTGAAGGAGCTGCAATTCCTGCATGAAGCAGGAGGCGCTTGGCTGGGGTTGTTTAGAGCATTTTGCTTTTCATTGCCTGTTTAACACCAGTT